GGCTTGGTGTGTTTGTTGATATTTACGTCCATATCTGTCACTATATTCACCAGAAAACTATGGATCTGTTTCTCCCTGTGTCATCTGTGTGCATGGGTACCGTGAGTTCCTTTCTTGTGCACAATCAGTTTTTTGTGCTGCACTCAGCAAGGCAGCGTTTTGAACCTAATTATGGCAAACCGCCAAGTCCCGCCAGAAAGCTCGGTGTAACGTCACGTGGTGGGGGAGCAGCGCTACGCTCTGGTGAGGGAGGTGGAGGTCATTGTTTTCTCCTTTTTTGAGCCTCCCAGTGAGTTATTATTATGTCACTGTGTTTGACACAGAGGAGAACAACGACGACGAGTTTAAGTGAGCCACTATGGGTGAGGCGAGCGATAATGGTAGGTCTTATTATATCACGCTCGGCTTAGGGTCTCGCTATAGGTACATCTAGATCTCAGTTTGGCTGTTGATTTTGCATATACACGTCCTGGTGGTCGCGTTGACATCACTTGTATGCCGAGTACTGCCTTCCCCTGCGAGTTAGTGTTGGACAATAAATGCTCACGATAAGTCAGACCCTTCGGCTGCTCCTCTCTGATGTGATGTCGCTGCTTATTTTGACTGAAGATTTTTTATACGCTGCTCACGCTGGCTTCCTTCTCTTGTGTAACATAACTTGCGTTGCGGTGAAGTAGTGTCGCCGACGGAAGAATTAGGAGCAGCCCGAATCCTCGAGTCATGGTAACTGATCTTCCTCCGCTCATATTCGCGATAATCGCCTTTGTCGTTGAAAGCTCGCACTAAGAGGTACGTATATGATCGCGTGACCTCTTCTGTTGATGACCTTCCACTTTATTAAGCGTGGCGCTCAGTAGGAATGCAGTAGGAAAGCGACGCAAGCAAACGTGGTTCGTAGACTGAACAGTGCAAACGCCCTAAAGGCATATGAAGGCCCACCCTCGATGGTACGCTGAGTTATCAGAAGATAATCTGAGCATGTCGGTGTAGTAGAGTTACACTCCAAGACGCCGTCGGCCCCTCTTCGCCCACTGATAAGACTCAAAGCGTGGTTCAGAGAAAAATGTTCTTCAATAACACATGCATTTATTCCGATCATTGTCCGTCGGCTCTGAGGACCTTTGCTGCATTAGTATGGTCCACATCATCATTCTGCCGCCGCTTCCGGTTGGCAAATGGGTTACCCTAGGATTCAATGGCTACCCTAGGGCTCGATGCTACACTCACTCTTATCGGCGCGTTCTTCGATGCCTCCTGCGCCTTAGTTTCGGCCATCATCTCAGCTCCAGTCGACCTCCGAGATGGTATATTCTCGACTGCCTGGAAGGCGGATCGAGGTGGCGCTGTACTCGGAGGAGGAATCGCGCGATTCTGCCTCTCAGGCGTAGGCTTAGCCATCACAGGCTGTGCAACGTTGCCAGTAGGCATGCTAGGAATGACTACTGATGCCATGTCCTCCTCGATACGGGCCGCCAACAGTGGCTGCCCAAGCTTCAAAGCCATCTAAACATAGGATACGCTTCGAAGGCAAGCGCGAAATTCAACAACCAGCAATGCGGGATCAACTTTAGCGAAGCTTGAACCCCCCCTCATCGTATATTGACCGACCTTAGCCATGAACCTTGGAGTAGCTGGTATTTGCAGGGCTAGGATAGAGGTGTCATATGCAGCCTCCAGTTGTTTAGACTGGACCAAGTCCCGGAATTTCATTACTAATTTCTTATCCAAAGCGACCTGACCATACCTCCTCACGATGATAGCATCGGTGAGCCTACCGTAGCTTTCTTTATCTCGCTAGGTTCCTCCCCTGAGTTGATCCCTCGATCCTGACAGAACCTGTGCGACTGATAGCAGCCCGCAAACGACGAGGCGCTGAGACCGTACTGCTTCCAAGTCGCCAACGTTCGCTCTGCAAACGCACTTTCAGCCTCTAGCCGATCGCCCAGTTTGGTTTTCTGCAACAAGCAGGTTCTCCATCACTCAACTTAGCTCACCATGTTACATCTGAGGTCTTCGAGGAGCTGAGTCGGATCCTCCAGGTTACCGATGGCAGCACTCTAGGCAGGGAGAACCCTCTGGGCTCATATGCATCCTCATACCGAGTACGGCAGATATGAAGGTTAAGTCCTGATCTTAGCACATCGACGAGGCCTCGAGCAGGAAGCTCTGATACCCACCGGCACCACCGACGGCCCAGAAACCCTCATTCTCCCGTTGGAGCTCAGCTACACAGTCGTACACGGGCGCCCATCTGATGCAGTTGATACCAACTGTGACAGTATCGTATTGCAATCTCACTTGAGATCAGTAGATGACCAAAAAGCGAAGACCCCAGTTGGCAGTAGGGCACGTATAATCCCCACGGAGTCCATTGAAAGGGGCATGGATTCGGTAGTCATCCTGCAGGAAAGGATACCCATCCCGTCGACTGTGTTAGTACCAACCCTATCCAAGTGAGAGTTGGCCCCTGACCAGCGTCATGATGGCCACCAGACACTGGCAATGGACCCTCCGATAGAACGCCAACTCGACTGCCACCACGAGCGGTTTGGGCCAGAGTATATCTAACATTACCATCTGCTGAGGAAGGACCTCCGACTACTCACCTAATCTTGGTAGCATCTCCACCATAATCAGCTACCGCCCACAGCATGAGGCCACTCGCTGCCGAGGCGACCATGCTGACAGGTCGACTAGAGGAGCATCCAATGGAGATGACGTTAGTCGGAAGACCGGCATTCAGCGACCTACAGCATCACACGATAGAGTCCTGAGAAGGTACCCAGAGAGCTGACCATATGCGTATCCTCGATCCAGCCTTATTGCAGAAAGTCATCCCCGTAACGAAGTCACGACCAATGCCGACGCATATCAGCTGTTCCCCCAAAGGGACTGTGGCTATCCATTCTCGAGGACTCGAATTCGATATCCCCGGTCTATAAGATGCCGCCGGCCGGAATTGAACCTGCGTGGATGCTACACGAAGATCCACATAACTCTGCTATTGATAAGTTATAAGTACTCTGGCCACGTTAGTCGAACTCTCCCCGCCCTGTTTGGCGTCCGTCACGAAATCATCCTCATCGTAAGCATCCTCATCAGGCGGCGTAATAGCCAAGCATGGGGCTCCTGTACAGTGCATGTTAGTTTCAGATCCCAATTTAAAGAATGCGCATTATTTTCCAAGGATAATAAGAATCGATCTGCAATATCGCATGAACATTACAATGAACATGTGAGGTAACCTTTCGAGACTATAGTAGCGATAAGTTGTTCACTATCAGCAATCCCGGAGTAAAAGATTCGCATTCTCCCCCTTTTCATATCAAGTTGGCACACACTCTTCATCGAACTCCGTGCTCACCAAAGACGACTCCTTTATCGCTCAGACTAGCCATAGACCATCCATACACCGAATCTTTAATTCGATTCCCTTGAGGAGGGGCCCCAGGAATTGTATACATAACCTGCCATAACGTTGAGGGAATGCACATGGCTCCATCCTGTCACCTCGAGAGCGCTCTCCGGGACCTCATCCTCTGGGACTTCCACGTCAGCTGGGGTGAGCATTTGCCGTGTCACCACACCATGAGCATTCCAGCACAGTAGTATCTACATACCGGGTATGCGGCATAGAAGAGCTGCTTCCTAACCTTGTTAATGCCGTTGTTAGACTCTGTAGCCTCGACGCCTTGAGGGGTATTGGCCCCTGGGCAGAAGGCTGGTTGTATCGTCATCATACGAGCAGGGCGGTGATGAGGATGAGCGTTCTGTCGTGATGCCTTATTATCCACAGGCGATGGGGCTGACGGCTCAGGAGGTGGGGAGGCGGTTCCCTTCTTAAGACAAGTCCGATGAACTCTTCATTAGGTACCCACCCTCTCAGCCGTAGGCTGCTCCACCTCGTTCATCAGCTCATCATCCGAGTCCGGCGCCTCCTGGTGTGGATCCTCCTCAGCGAAGAGATCATTGCCCCGCGGGGTATCATTGCCATCGGACGATGAGGCTGGCAGGAATAGCAGGGATAAAAAAAGGCCTCGCTAGGACTACCGGCTTCCTCTTCTACGAAGTCCTTAGCAGTCTTGAGTCGGCGACCTGTAGTGGGTCCAGCGCGACTGGACTTTGGCGACGATGATGATGATAAAGATGGCGCCGGGTCGGATGATGATGGGGAGGAAGGGGAGCTCATGATCTCAGGTACAACTCATTGAAATTGATCGTTCCCGTTGCAACAGAAACATGACAGCACATGGCACTACTAACATCGATAGAAACAGGTGACGATTTACTTCACTGAGATATGGTTAAAATAATACCAACGACCAGGATCGGATTGTCCTACTACCTCCTTGAATAGCCTGCAGGGCAGCCTTTGTAACATCGATCATTTAGGGATCGGTCGAAAAATCCCCACAGTGGCGAATGACTTGACAACAAGGGAAATATCGTGGTTAAGATAGTAAGGCTGTTCAGACGTACTGGTAACTACCTCAAGATCGACGAGATGCTGTCCAATAGCCATGTCGGCCACAATGATGGTAGACTCCTCCGGACCAGGATTTTGCAGGTCTGTGAAATCACGCGTTTCACAAATTTCAATCTCAAAACCTTCTTGAAATGTGGTATAAGCCTACCGGCGCCCGCTAAACTGCCCCGGCGCCCCGAAAACTGCTCGCCCGGCCCTAAAAATCCTTTTTCGCCCTTAGATCTTCAAAGTCCGCCTCTAACTCAAAAGCGGAAATTCCACCCTTACAACACACTTTTTACTCAGCTAAAGTGTTGCGTATGCTTCATCTGTGTGTCCTGCCATTTCGTGTCAGTCATGGCTTGGGATCATTTGATCATGGACGATTCGGCACACTGGTCTGAAACTAGCTTGATCATTGTATCGGCCAAGGTCTCGGAACAGTTGAGTTAGTTCACTAGGCCTCCTCGGAGAGGGGGCGGGGCTCACGTAATTCGCGCAAGAACGATTAACTCGATCGACTCCCGCGCCGAAAATGGGAAGTCGCGGGTTCGATCCCCACGGACGTCATTTTTAGCGCATTTTTTTAGTCCGTTTTCGAAGCAGTTGCTGATGGAAATATGCTCTCCGGCGACCGGAAAATGCTTCCGGGATGCTTCCCGGGGCTGCTTACGGGATTTTGTGAGCTATAGAGTGGGGGAGCGTGGACGGAATTTGACCGTCAATCTCGACGATTGCTGAACTTCGGTGTCTCGAATCTCATATCCGTGGCTATTCCCATACAGTTCAGGTCAATTCTATGACTCGGCTTTAGAATATCAAACACAATTACCGATACTCTAGCAGTGATACTCGATTACGGAATTGCAACCCGACTGGTGTATATGATATAATCAACCCGCTTCAACACTACAAAGCAGTTGTTTTCCAACTGATAATCATGGGCAGAGGTTCATAAAGAGGAGTCGCTTATAATGAAATCATTCTGGAATTCAGTAACTAGATCCTATATCCATGACAATGGAATGCAAGAGAGATCGATGCTACGCGTCACAGCCGTTTCAGCAAGTGTCTCCACGAGGGATCGTGCCCGCTAGACTCCTTATGGTTAGTAGAAATTAGATTTCACATGACTAACCACGCCTTGGAGGCGTCGCCTTCACTGACGAGGACGACATGAAGATATTCAGCTTCATAGTCGACGAGGCTGCTGTTGCTATGCGATGTGGGAAGCTGGTCCGGGCATGTGGATATAAGGTCTGGAGGAAAGCTGAGCAGCAAAGTGAGTGACGCAGTTTAGAGCTGTCGACTCTGCCCGATCAGCATACTCTTGCCTTCCTAGGTATAGCGGCGCTATAATAGCGCCACCGCACACATTGCAGAGTATGAGAACCCGTTGGATGAGATACATAGAACCCCGCTACATCGAGTTCTCTGGACGACTCGCCGAAAGGATAAATAGTCGAAGAACCCCGCATACTGTAGGTCGGACTCTAATTACGAGACATTGCGATCCGACCGACTTTAGTAGCTAGTTCTCGCTTCTACATCAGCTCAGTTCGGATCCGGCTCGCGCATCAACTCAAGAAGTGGTAGAGAATCACTCCACATCATCGCGAAGAAGGGCTCAGAGATTGGTAGAAACAAGAGACCGGACACTGTCCTGTCAGGGCGGAGGGGAACCGGTGGTTGTGGACCCCACCCGATGATACACAGTATGCGATAATACTAGTGTGTCACACAATATGTAGTCACTGGCAGTGACGCACTGCATTGTCACGAGTCACTTCAGATCCGCTACATCCGTTAGCCGATAACACCTGCACTACCGAAATCAGCAATTAGTGAAGATCCATCCGTCGCCCGTGTCTCACCTCCTTACCTTGTATTGTTTGTAAATGCCGAAGGTCCACCTGAATGTGGAGGAGAGAGTGCTGGATTCAAGAGTCATGTTTGTTCAAAGTGGAGCCGTTGGAGTCTTCATACTGAGCTGAAGACTGCGACCGCACGCCCGAGACCCTTAGGAATGGGACAGTCCCATTGGGACTAGGCGGGACTCCCGCCGCGGGAGTACTCCACACCTGATATGGAGCACACTCGGATAACTGAGGCAGAGAAGGAAATTTCCCAGGAGCAGCTCTGAAGGTAAGTTCGGACGCACGCGCGTCAATAGTATCGGCGCAGCGCCGACGGCGCTTCAGTATTGACTCAATACTGAAGCGCCCAATCACGCCCCACTGCATGTCCCTCTGGTAGGGTCTCAAGACTATTAAAATACACATTGCCAGCTCACCCCGGAATCGATGCTGACGGGATCCCGTGACCCTGCAGCGTGCTCAAGCATGTGGGTCCTCGATCTTGGGTACGGGTTCCACAGTGGCGTCAATTCGGGCTTTCTGTGAGACTAACGACAAAGTGACAGACGATGAGAATCAACCATACTGTTTGGCGTTTGATATCAAGATCGGCAGTTCCTTCTACTTCGTATTCTCGTGCACGAGGTTGCTGAGGGAAGGAACGAAGCACCAAACACTCACTTGTGATTATACATCAGCACCCAGCTGGTTAAGGATGCCACTGCTGGTGATGGGAAGCCTCGATTGGAGAGGCCACTTCAGACCGATCGCCTTCGCATTAACCAGCCATCAAACCCAGGACGATGTCGCATCCGTGACGGATCAGAAGACGGTCTTCTGCTGCGTGGCGCGATCGGCTGAGAAGATACACGGTCCTTTCGTACCAAGCGTACTTGTCGCCGATGCTGCGGAATGTTTTACGAATGCTTATAAGCTGGTATTATAATATATTGTAATAGTCGCTTAGTAATGATCGCATAGTAATAATCGTATAGTAGTAGTCGTATAGTAATAATCGTATAGTAGTAGTCGTATAGTAATAATCGTATAGTAGTAGTCGTATAGTAATAATCGTATGGTAGTAGTCGTATAGTAATAATCGTATAGTAGTAGTCGTATAGTAATAATCGTATAGTAGTAGCCGTATAGTAATAATCGTATAGTAGTAGACTACTGCTAGTAGTCGTATAGTAATAATCGTATAGCAATAATCGCATAGTAACGTAGCGATGCAATCATTAAATAATTCAGGTATTCGGCGAGTTGAGTCCGACGGGGCTGAGGCGTGACTTACGCTGGGAGTACGGCTCATTCAATCGGGGAACTAGGCTCTATTGCTGGGTTCACATGTTGCGCCGCAACAGTTGCGGGCGGTCCGAGGGTGGCTCCCTACCTACATCAACGAGACCGCAGAGGGGTCTGTTGCAGCCGCTCAGGTGAAACGCGGTGAATTTCATAGGGATATCAAGGTCCTTCATTGCTGCGGGAGCGATAAACTATTCGAAGCCGGAGTGGAACTATTCGCGGCGAAATGGAAAGCAACCTACCCCCACCTCATCGAGAAGTTCGGCAAAACCTGGCTTCTGAACTTCAGAATCTGAAGACGGCCACTTGGTATTCCACCAATTCCACCAAAAATCAAAATTCGACCATTTTTGACCGATTTTCTGTAGATTTTGCGTTTTTCTTATCAACTCAGGCTCCGTGACAACAATAACAAGTTGTTATTAACAACTAACCGTAACAAGCTAACTCATTTGACAGGAACGGATACTTCAAAAATATTGATAATGGAAAAATCAGGCCATGTGTTTGCGTGCTCCATTGCTCATCACTTGTGTTCTGGGAGCCTTGCGAACTACTCATTATTATTTCTGGTCGATCTTACTGATGCATACGACATCAGCATCAAACATTATCATCCCCCCCCTCCACTTCCTAATGAATAACTACGAACCCTCAAACGATTCACATTTTCAAGGATAACGTACGAACTATCAAGGTTAGTCTTGAGTGGTGTTGGCATCCAGACGAGTCGGAGGATAACAAGGCTCGTGTTTGGAAGCTTTTTTCACAGTCTCCACACGAGTCTCCAACTGGCTTGATTTCTAATGCACCGTAACGATATTTTTCAGCAGCGAATGTCCACTCTGTTGGCTCTTCTTCGTCGTCGCACAGATGTCTCGCCGTTAATTTGTCGTGCGATGAGGTCAGTGGTCTCTTTTCGCTGATTTTACTCTAGTTGCTACTCTTGATGTCAAGACGGAAGTCTGCGATAACAGGGTACTCACAAACATTATTGATCAGTACTGCTGGGAACTGGCGGGACATGGGACAAGCAACGATCTGAACCAAGTCATGGGGCCTTCTGATGGGAGTATCTTGCAGGGTGCTACGTACCACCAATCGCAGAACACTGCAAGAAAGTGATGCTCAACACCATCGTACTGCTAAGGCAACAGCCGCAGTAATAGTAGCTGAAACGGTGCTCATGACGATGATCACATATTGATGCTCCTAAGGAATTCAACTATCTTCCATGTGTGTATTCCTCGAACCTCCAGCGAGCCGATATGGAGGCGGACCTGAGCTTTGCACACTGCCACAGAAGGCTCTTGCCTGGCCTCACCGGTGCTTCACAGATTTCCGATAGATGTCGGCGGCATTGGGCGATATCACCTCTCACGTGCCTCACCATCGTATTCACCTACCAATACACTGTACAGCCCCTACCCCCTCCAAAAGAGAGGTCTATCGCTACCTCTCGGCCCGACTTCATGAAGCGTTTATAGACTGGGTACCTCCCATTCACGGTCTTGAGGATCTGACGAGTACCATGGACTGCTCCAGGCTGGGCTGATGGTCACCTTATAGTTGATCCTTTCCCCACCAGGAGTCGGTGCTGCTTCCTCTGAGTCGCCCTCCCCTTCCTTAATATACTCCACCCTCCGCTCTGGAAGAGGATGGACGTACCGCACCGCCGTCGACACAACTGGATGGCGGCAAGACGGCTGAGTTAGTCGGCTGAGACACCATCGACGCAGCATAGACATAACAGCAACAACTGTAAAGTACAAGCAGAATACTGAACATAACTAGCGATCAACCTATGCATGGACTAGTAGACCCTTTTCGTGAATCTAGAACACAGTCCATGATCTAAGGTCCAACTACCAAGCGCAACAGCAGTGGTATCTTCTAACTCGTATTCTACTCACAACAGGTGGCATGTGTGAATACGAACAGTACCCCATGATTATCACTAGACAATAAGCATCTTGAGCCCAACAGCTGTAGGAGGATCACTATGGTAAGCCGTGGTACGGTAGATGAAGTCGTTTACGAGTGATAGCGCAGCCTCAGGGGCGTCCTGAGGGACCATATGGCTAGCGTTGATGACCTAAAGTCAAACACTACAGCCGAGCTCAACAACAAGGCGATACCATACCCTTGCGAAAGTAAGGCCACCAAGACCACCGGATCTTCCAACCATGCGTACTTGAGCACCGATTCTCGACGACGGCAACTGGCAGAGGACGAGTCGTTGCTGACGTACCGAATGAATACACCTTCACCCTCAGTGAGCTCTCTACCGCCTTGGTGAAGGCCGCCTTCCCTGGCCACTCGAGCGCCTGAGCCGTGTCCAGAACGCTGAGCCAATTGCATAGGAAATCCTGGTCACCAGCATACAGGAGTACCTATCAGATCCGAGTACCTCCATCGTATAGAACTAGATCCATGAATCCATCGAGACGATCGACACACGCCTTCCTGCTATTACACTAATCCCTTTAACCAGGAGCGAAGATAGTTGTTGCTCAGCAGATGATGTGAAGAGCTCTCGAATATGGAATGCGGCCGTGACCTTGAATGCAAGCAATCCTTCTCACGAACAACTGCCGCCTCAGCGACTGTTACACTTTCATTCGACGATCTCCACTCCATATGCGCTCCCACAACCTCCTGTACAGCAGGATCGTTGAAATACTTTCGAACCTGCTGATGAACATTTCCCCAACGGGTATTCAAGCGGTAGTCACCGGTCCATCATCCAAGCAATCAGGATACGGGCCACACTCGTGTCTGAGATCGTATCTGCAAGAGGCGACTCCTACCTTAGGTCTGCACCCAATCGAAGCCTTACATGCTCCACTTGCCATCGCTAATAGGATTGATGAGCTTCTTGGAACATCTATCGTACAATGCCTGGCAGCTCATATGCCCTGAGGAAGTCAATACACTCACGACTCACGGCGACCCCAATACTACCCGACAGGCAAGATGGCGTCTCTGCTACACAGTCCTCTGCCGCTTTCACCATCCTATCATATCTGATCCAATGCCACCACTATGACCACCGACCAGGTACGACTAAGTGCTTACTGTGGAGCTGAGACCCTCCTCGGAGCAGTGCCGCTCCTATATGCCATCCGAGGATACGATCGCCACCTGGAAGGCAGAGAGTAAGTTCCGTTCTCGTGGGTTCGTAGTTGAAGCACTCCATGCTATCTTCCCTACACTCTGTCAGAGTTGAAGAAACCGTTGCCGATGATAATTCCGACGATGTCAATAGTGGGCTCAGCGCCCTCTTTCTCATCCGCCTTCACCCTCATCACTGCCTCCGGGATGAACTTACCTGTACTACGAAAATCACGTGTCATCATCCATGGTAGTCTTCACTCAACGATTTAAGACGTGCGTACTCACCCGAATACGACTCGCCCGCTAAAAACACCCTCCTGTTGTACTGAGGGTACTTCCCGAAAAACCCATGTAAAAATAGCGATCTGCAGACGAGCGAGTTTACCATATAAGTCAGTAAGAATGCCTACAGCAACTCGCCAGCCTCCTCAGTAGACCTTATCAAAGGCCCGGTGCTGAACCCTGTGCCAGCAGGTTGATCGATCCATAAACCGTTGGCCTCCGCAGTCCACGAATACCTATCAATAACCGAACACGAATGAGATAGCTGTGAACTGCCCTCCTCCTCCTTGGCGACATGCAAGTGGAATAAGGCCACGATTTCCCTTCACAACTATTACGGGTTTAGATTTGTCCCTCCTCTCTCGGTATCGATACGACAAGGACCGTTCTCTAGTACCATACCGGCCATACTGCTAAAGCCAGGGCCACCATTCAACCATACGATCATGGGATCGGTCTCGGGTGACTTCCTGGACTCGAAGAACATGAAAAAGTACCTGCCAGGGATCGAACCTGCGACCACTACTAGGACCCCATCGTCCAGTTACCGAGTACTATGCTTCATCAACGTGATGTACCCAGATATTTGCCGGACAGTCGGATCGCATGGGCCGCCACGGTCAGACTCTCGAACATCGAAGACGTAGGGTGAAGTCACCCCTCGACCTAGGGATGGTCAATAGATCGATCTGGCATACTCTGTTATATACAGAGTATGCCAGATCGAGCAAAGGATCGAGCAGATCGAAACTCCTTACCTTGTCAGGTAAGGAGTTTCGATACTTCTATGTCTGTTGTGCCCCATTCGACACCCCCAAAAACATGCTATGAGATTCGCCAAACAAGCCAGTTGGGAGGATCGAAAATATCAACACGACATAGATCAGTCCCGCAGTCATCCCGACATCCTCGCTCGGTGCCGACCCATTGCAGGTCAGGCAAATGACTGCTCTACTAGTTGATCCTCCAGTCCCAAAGGCCGATACTGGCACACTACCTTCAATACGCCCTAAGTAGCCCTCTGTGTCCAACCACAGGCGCCGACCATATACGCTTCCTATACACAAAAGTGTGACCAGGAGGAGGCCAGGAGGCCTCCACATAGGTCAACCGAAAAGAGGCCTGTGTGGAAGATACTCTAACGCCCTGTTCTCATTCAACACAACATGCTGGCCGGCAAGCCAGATACTAGAGCAGTCATGATGAAATCAGTGGTCTTGCAATATAGGCTCGAACGACTCAGGCCTGAACAGGTGTCACCTACTGCTTCAGTGTACCCCATCTCTTGCTGGTTGGTTCAGCTCCGATGTCCGAGACATTGATGTCCTCCGTGAGCCCATCCCCAGTGTGCCCCGGCAGGTCCTCTTCTAGTGAGTCGACGACCTTATAGCCGCCGAAGTCTCTCAAGAGCCCCTCAGGCCCGGCAGTAGTCGCCTCGCCGAGCCATTCTCGCTAAGCAGGATAGCTCCCCTAAACATCCGAACTACCTAACTCGTTGGACGGGGTAGCGGAGGCATGGATGATGACAGATGTAGCACTGAAGGCTCTGGAGTTCCACCGGTATTGCTGAGCACATTCACACTCTTGTTGGCCTACTAGGACGGTGGGGTCGTGGACTACTTCCTGAATATTCGTCACGAAAGGACTCGAGTAAAGTTTTCGAGTTGTCAGAATCGGCTGTTCCCGAGGTTACCCCAGCTCCCTATCAAGGGTGGACCTCGGAGCACGACCTTGTACGTCAATAGGGACATTCCTTATAGACTACGTCGAACCAAGCCCCACCACTCAGTTGGTAACAGCACCTGAACGAGTAGCTAGAAGTGGTTCCTACCACTAACCAGTAGTAGACAGGTGACCAGTCTTGGAGTCAACCTCATCGTCACTGTCGCCTAGAGACAGGACAATGCAGCAGCCGTACCACACTTCTCTCAACCTCCCATAGATCTAATGGTATCACGGGCTACATCCGGCTCCGACATTGCAGGAAATACTTTGACAAAATCCCAGCAGCCTCCCAAGTGGTGATGACAAACACAACAATAACGGGTCGACGGTGACCTCAGAAAAGCTTTACAATACTATGTCGGCTCCTACTGCTTCTAGGTGAGGTCGATGTTAAAGACGACGTCAGCGAGGACGAAGGCACTAGAACCTCCCCTTGCCCTTGCCACCCTTACCCTTACCTCCTTTGCCCTTGGCCCCAGGGGCGTTCAAACTACCCCAGCCCGAACCTAGCCACCGATAGCGACAATCTCCCACCGCTCAGTCTACCCTATTACCTGCACCCTGCCTCCTAGGCTTGAACATAGGAGCATACCGAAGGTTGTCTGGAACGACTATGTAACGTATTTTGGAGCCACGGATGTAGGCCTGAACACCGTAATCAACAACGAGACCACCATCTCACTAGCATCACGGAACTACCTGCTCCAGACTTGTCTGCTTCCCGTCCCTCCTCGTTACTACCACCTCCGCAATGAGGAGGTTCATGTTATCCTCAGTGTGGATCAGATGCCCTCTGACCAACACCGAATAAGCCCATGGGCACACTCCTTTACGAGCCTACTACCTATACAGCTCGCCCGTTTGCATCTCCACAGTGACTGTGTGACCAACCGACTCGTGAAGTAACTTAATGGGAATACCGACAGCAGCCATTCTGGAACCACGAAGAACTAACTGTCGTCACCCACGGACCTCCCAAGCCACAACACAACACTATATAGTAATAAGAAGAAAAACTAATAAGATATGTTCACAGGAAAACAGAGGCTCTTTCTACCACGTCTCCCTGAAAACAGTACGTTGCCGTACCGTATTTACGACATGTAAAACTTACCCACCGAGCGATGACCAGCTACCCCTTGGTCTTGTGCATGACCGTCTTAGAAAGCCATTCAAGAGTAACCGACTTAGGCCTTTCAATAGGCATGGCCATGACCCTCGCCCAAATCATTTGCGCCATAACTCCAATCGTTCGGGACACAGCGAATGTAACAGTGTAGTAATCCGACTCCTTGAGGCCGAAGTGTTGCATCATCGTGCCAGAAAGGGCGTCCACGTTAGGGTAGGGGTTCTGAATCTTACCAGTAGCCTGCAGGATGGGCGGAATCGTCTTAAAACATACCTCGGACAACTTGAACATCGGGTCGTCAGCAATATGCTGCAGACAAAATTCCCTCTCAAGGGCGTAACGAGGATCAGTAGCTCGGAGGACCGCGTGACCATACCCGGGAACTACCAGGCCCTTAGCCATGGTATCCTTCGTGTACTGCGTCACAGACTCAACACTCGGCTCAATGCCAAGTCGTTGATGGTACTTCTGGAGTCTGGTAAGCCAATTGAGGCACTCTTGATTAGCCAGACCATGCAGAGGACCGGCCAAACCACAGATACCAGCCGCCCAGGAGTAGAAGGGATCAGCCAGAGCTGAGCCGACGAGGTGTGTCGTGTGGGACGAGACGTTACCTCCTTCATGATCAGCATGCATGGTCAAGTACAAACGAGTCGCCTCTTTGAAATTCTCGTCCTCAGAGACACCAAGCATATTGGCAAAGTTTCCAGCCCAGTCCAGATGAGGATCGGTCTCGATGAAAATACTATTATAGAAAGACCTCCGGTAGATCCGTGCAGCTACTTGAGGGACACGAGCGATCAAAGTAATAGCATCATCGAGGATGTACTCCCAGTAGTCCTTCTTGGCTAGACCACCCTGAGAGTACTTTTGAGTGAACTGGGAGTAGGGCTGCATCGCCAGCATACCGATCGAGAGCTGGGTCATAGGGTGCATGGATGTGGGCAGACTATCGATAACCTGTATGACATCAGCCGGCAGAGAACTACGACGGTGCAGCTCCTCGTTGAGGTGGGATACGATCTCAGGGGTAGGGACTTCACCAGTCATCAATAGCCAGAAAGCTCCCTCAGGCAAACCTACTTTGCCCTTGAGAGGTGCCTTGGGAAGACTCTCATTGACTTCTTTCAGCGTCATACCGCGATAACGGATCCCCTCAACAGGGTCCAAGTCGGAGGTGTCAGTGACCATGGCCTTGATACCACGCATACCACCAACGACCATACCAGCCGAGACCTCGCCAATAACGACATCTTTGTACTTCTTTTTGAGCTCCAGGAGGCGCGGTTGCTCCCGGGCTGCCAGGTGCTCCACCTTAGTCTTCAACTCCTGGATCACTGGGGCCGCGTGATGGTAAAACGAGAACAACCCAGAATGCCGATTCGAGGCGATAGGAGATTCTTTGATAACATGTTATAAGAATCGTAAAAACTACTGAGTACTCACACGGAAAGCCCGGAAGGCGCTGCTAGCGATTGCGTTGCACCACTGCCTTCCTCCTCCTCGCCGTAGGGTCATTCACGGTCCAATGCCAGGCAGAAATTCACGTTTCAATAGAGAAACTCTCCGGTATGCCCTAAGGGCCACGAGGCATGGATGGCGTAACTCTGACCTCAACAAGGAACCCTGAGCCATGAACAGGGATCTACACTTGTTGGGGCGCGCGACTTTGACCATATCGACATCCCCGGTTCGATCCCTGGGACCGCCATTTCTCTCGTCAACTCCCCAGCGGTCATCATGGAGGATCTGTTACAAAATGAAGGTAGCTGAGCCTTCTTCCAGATCGGTTGCTGATGAGGAAGTGGATGTCGAGGGGTCCGACGATAAGATAGACGAGGAGTAGGAGACTGCCCTTCGGGGGACTATTGATAGTGGCATTCTAGGTTCAACATATGGAAGAAGAACACGCCGTTCCTCTACGATATGGTCATCTCCCACACCATGGAGTGGCCCTCATTGACCGTCGAGTGGCTCCCTATCAAACCGTAAGAGAACTGCCCATCAGGTGGGGATTGGGTCTGAGGCTTCACCCTCAGGGCTTTGGATAAGGCCAGTGACTATTCAACTCACAAGATGATCCTCGGCACTCACACTTGCAATGGGGAACAGAATTACCTCATGATAGGGCAAGTGAAGGTCCCATACCATGCTAAGGAGGAGGTGGACATTGACAAGTACATAGAGACTTCCGGTAATAACACTATCGGCTAGAGGGGCACTGAGGGAGGGGTCCCTTAGAGTCAGGGGCTGCTCTAGCGGCCAATAAAGACCGGATGTGTATATCGACAAAGATTAACCACCCTGGTGAAGTGAACAGGGCCAGGTAGGGTGCCCTACGGCCCCTCAGCTTGGTCCAGCGTCCTCCAGATACTGCCCCCAAAACCCCTTCATCATCGCGACTCTGACCAACACTGGCGACAGTAAGCTCAGTGCCCTTGTGAGTTCGTTATAGTCCACACACTCAGTATTACTTTTTGATTACTCCAAACACCCTTCCCATCCTAAGAAGGACGGCGTCATTGACTCCCTCTGCACCTTAAAGGGCCACACTGCGGAAGGGTATTCATCTCTCTGACACTTCTCTTCGTCTGTCCTCGCCCTAGGTATGCACTATCTTGGAGCCCTACTGTACCTGGCCGGCTGGTCTCAGGGGCCTACGATTGCAAGGTGGCAGTCTGGGACGCAAACAGCGTCCCTAAAAGCGGCAAAGGTGAGTGGCTTCGCTCCGCTCCCATCGTCTCATCTCTTTTCGATCGATCAGGCAAGGGTGTTAGTCCCGTAAGTGTCCTGACTGGCCACACTGATGTGGTCGAGGCTGTTTCCACACATCGTCGTGATGGGGATATCCTAGCCAGTACTGGTGATGATGGACGGCTGCTCATGTATCAATATCGTCCCCTCCGTCCACCCTCACGCCCTTTATTCCCCCAGATGGGACTTGAGGTCCCCAAAGCAGCCAGCCCACAGTGTAGTGGCCATCGAGGGAGAGTCAGACTGTAACTGCGTCCAGTTCTCACCTCACAATGATAACGTAGATCCTATGCACCCTACATCGCTCTATTCTCCTTGGTGGTTACTCGATCAGATGATCGCTACTGCCGGGAGTGACAAGACGGTTAGCCTGTGGGACATGCGGCAGATGTCACGAAAGTAATATGAGAAGGGTGGTCCTTGTTACCCAGCTGTGCCCCTCCATAGGATCCATGCCTTGGAGCACGGCCATAAGGAGGATGTGCTGAACATCGAATGGAACCCTACCACTGACCATCTTATAATGTCTGCTGGTAATGCCTCTAGACCTTGAAAGGCTCTCTGACGCCTCGCCTCAGGTCTCGATCGTCGAGTGACAGTGTGGGACCTGTCCAGAGTAGGTGAGGAGATTGAGGATGGCAACGAGATGGATGGCCCTCCGGAGATGGTCTTCGTCCATGGTACGGGTCTACCGCATCTCGTCAACCACTTGTACACCCTTCGTTTAGGTGGTCATTGCTCTCGAGTCACTGATATCAGTTGGAATGCCTTCGAACCAACTATGGTGGCCAGCACCTCAGAGGACAATATAGTGCAAGTATGGAAGCCGGTAAGGCGGGGGAAGAGGAGGAGAAGTCGTTCATCCACCTTATACCTGGTCCTCAGAACGAGGGGATCCTCTGTTCCGACGACAACGACGATGATGAGATTACCATAAGCGGGGATGATGAAGGCATGTCCGATGTAGAGTGATGTCCTCTTCTACCCGTCATCATCACCACTGAATTGAAACCGTGGTCGCTAACCAGGCGTTTCGAGGCAGCGTGCCACTTGTCGCGTTGGGATTGCCGATCATTGCTACGACTTCCTCCTATCCAGGTTTTCATTATCGATCGTTACTGTCCTCTGTCCTATGGCTCCGGGATTACCTCTTAGTCGGGAAACACTTCTCAGTGTAATAGACCAGCGGGAAGATGGTATCAACAACTCCATCGCTCTTGCCCAAAGTTCTGGATGGGATCATGCCAAGCTCGTTGGTGTCATCAAGAGTCTAGAGGTATTACCCTAGGTCCGTCCATTGCATCATCATTTGAGCTTCCCTCAGTCCATACACTACGTTACTACTACGCCTTTTGAGGAGGAGGAGTGGACGACGACTGAGGAAGGAGAGCAGTATGCTACTCTAGGCAGTCCTGAGGCGCAGGTGGGCGGACGCTTGCCTTCTAGGAGTATGTCGATTTGTGGTATCACAGGTCGCGGCCTATGTTAAGGAGCATGGCCCTTGTGTGCAGAAGGACATCATCGTCTCCCTTGGAAGTGTCGCCAAGGTAGATGCTGAGGAGGGTGGTCTTGTGACTCGTTGTTCTGGGTTAGATTGGTTTCGGAGCCGCCATGAAGAAGAGCTGGCTCTCGATGAATAAAGCGACCAAGGAGGTGTCACTGTCTGATAAAGCCAAGGACTCTATAGAGGATACTGTAGCTGTACTGCTGACTAAGGTAGTGCGATCTCGGCGAGTGAAGGCTACTTGGTGTCTTGGTAGGTCGGCAAGGGTGAGGTTGCCTCTATAGCGAAGGCCGATATGGACATGCTGAAGAAGAGGAAATTGGTAGGTGTGACGCTAAGACACTGTGTACCTGCTTTGGAAGCGGGGTTAGATACATCTCACAAAGACCACTGGGTTCAAGGTGGAGAAGACTAGCAACTTCAGAACGGAGATCGTCAAACAGGAGACTGAGCTCACACAGGAGATGATACAGAACAAGTCATGGAAAGATGTCCAGTTCAAACCGTAGGTCTGCCTATCAGCAGTAACAGATCGACACCTGACAATACCAACTCGGATGGGAATACCAAAACCGATCGCCTCAGTTACAACCTCAAGACGGCCCTTGGCCGAGACCTTGGCGGTGGTCATCTCCACCCTCTCCTCAAGGTCAAGACTGAGATCAGGTAGCCATTCCACAGTCTAAGCGCTCTCACACTAGTGTTGTAGGAATATTCTACTCCTCATGGGTTTCGAGGAGATGCCCACCAACCGCTACTTAGAGTCCTCATTCTGGAACTTTGACGCTCTCTTCCAGCCTCAGCAGCACCCCGCTCGTGATGCCCATGACACGTGAGTGCCACTGTGGGGGTGGGCGATAGTGGACAAGTCGAAACTGCCTTAGGTTCTTCATTACCTCACCTGCATCTACCAACAGGATCCCTGAGGACTACATGAACGCCGTGAAGTAAGGATATTGTAGAGGTGATGACTCTCACTGTCGCTATGTTGTCCAGGAATATGCACGAGGTTGGCGGCTATGGCTCTATCGGGTGGCGATACGACTGGTCCGAGAAGGAGTCCAGGAAGAACATCCTGAGGTCGGCGTTGTGATGGTTTTCGAGGCGAATTCTGTGTTGCTCAGAACTCATACCACCGCTGTGAGCACTCGTGTACTCTACGAGATGGGACAGGACTACATCCGCACTGGCGTTTTCAAGTAACCCTCATGAGTATTGCTGCTTGTGCAAGCTCTCCTGGTCATCAGGCCTAAGAAGTGTTTCTCTATCGATCGTGTGTTCCGTAATGAAACTTTGGATGCGACCCATCTCGCTGAGTTCCACCAAGTGGAAGGCTTCGTTGCTGACCGTAACCTAACCCTTGGCAATTTGATAGGGGTAGGGCGGAGGGAAGCTATGACCGTGTTTTCGTTATACCCGTTTTTACAGGTCATCCGGGAGTTCTTCCGACGTATGGGCCTCACGGACCTCCGCTTCAAGCCTGCATACAACCCCTACACCGAGCCTAGTATGGAGATCTTTGCCTTCCATCCTATGCTCGACAAGTGGGTCGAAATAGGCAATTCTGGTATCTTCCGACCAGAGATGGTCCGTCCTATGGTGAGCTCCTTCTGACTACCTCCGTCTGTACAGTACTTGTCAGGGCATCCCCGAGGATGTATCGGTGATCGCATGGGGCCTTTCTGTGGAGCGACCTACTATGATCCAATATGGTATTGGTAATATTAGGGAGCTCTTCGGTCATAAGATGGACGTTACGAGTTTGAAGAAGAACCCTGTGTGTTGGTTGCATCCTGAGGAGGAGGAGGTATCGACAGTAGAGGAGAAGTGGGAGCAATGATCGTTGTCCTGTTGTTAAATAAACTGCCAGTTTCTCGACGCTTGAAAATGTTCCTTTTCGGTAACGTTACAGTAGATTCGGGGGGCTTCCGAAGTCCAGTGTGATTGTAAGGGGAGTCGGAGACCTGGTAGAGGTTGGCTGTGGCCTTACATACTTAGAATTTATAAGGCTACCTCGCGTAAGGGTATGATACTTTCACCCGAGGGGCACTTCTATCCGGCTTCGCCAGTGCCGTACTGATTAGTAGTAGCGGAGCCAAGTGGGTGGATAGCGGTGTATAAGCAAGGCTCGAGAAAGTCTGTTAGAGGTGGTTGCTGCATCTACTACTACTGCTGTCCAGGATGCCCCTCTTAGGGACGCCGCTGCATACATTCATTAATACTATTCAAATGAGAAGGCCAATAGAAGTAGTGCTGTTGTTAGCCAAACTATCATGGTATTTCCTCTCACCGAGGGGCTTACAGCTGGGTACCTCTCGGAGGAGGCTCAACCATATCCAACCCCGAAGGGTGGTGACGAAGTTTGGGAGCATCCATCATCATGACTGAACTCCTTTTATCGTGACTCAACTCAAGCAGCAATGGTGTCACGCAGTGAAAAGATACGACAGTACTTTATAAGAAACTCGTAGAGTAAACAAACTGCCTTCTTATTACCAAACTCGGAGATCAGCCCCGAGGTAATGTTATTAGAGAGATTTATTAAACGTTATAGCCACAGGAGTTTAAGCAGTGATGGCTGAGCCTTCCGTTGGCTGCTCCTCGATAGTCGTCATGTCCGACCAGAAGTTGATGGCATCCAATGCTACCTTGCAGCTCTCGATAACCACAGATTCGTCCTGAGAGGGTAGGATGGGTGAAAGGCAGGAGAGAGATGGTCCTACCTCATCATGGTTCACGGGCCTTTGGACGTATTCCCTTAAGAACTTGGTGGCTTCCTCGCCACCGACGGAGCCGAGAGCCACAGCGGACTCATGGCGAACCATGCAGGCCTCGTCGGTATCCTTCACAGAGTCGATAAGGGCTTGGACGCTCGAGAGGGTCTATCGAGGAGAAGGCAATGGGTCGCATGGGTCCCGTTGAGTCTGTACTCACCATCTCTTTATCGGCATCGAAAGCGACCTGGGCCACAACGAAGGCAAGCTCATGCCTCATCAAGGCTGAGGTGTGGTCTTCCCTAAGTACTCGAGCTAGGGCCTTGAGCGCTTCAGGGTCGGGGGACCTATGGGCCACGTAGAGTAGGGTTACCGACTGCAGAAAAGGCCTACACTGAGCCAGGCAGGGTAGCGGCACGTAGCTGGTACATAGCAGCATACCGATCAGAGAGCTTGGCCTTGGGGTCCATGAGACGCTGGGCGGCCTGAATGACAGAATAGGAGGATAGCTGGGAGGAGGGCTAGTACCTCCTCAGTCTTAGTGGCATGCTGACGGGCCTTGGCTCCGATGGGGTCGACGGTGTTGAACTCGCTACGCTGAGCATCGGTGTTCTTGGTCTGCTTGAGGTCTAAGAGGGAAGGTGTAAAGGAGAGAAGTTGACAGGCAGTATTCATATTACTCTCAAGGGATTCGACGGCTAAGGTAGCGGTGTCCCGGATAGCCTCGTTCTCATGGGTCAGATAGGGACGGATCTTCTCAAGGGAGTCCACAGAGCCACACGCAGCGAGGCCTTCGATGGCTTCATGCCGCACCTGAAATAAACCAAAATGGTACTCGTTAATGAGTACCATGGTCGAGATCTCACCATGGGGTGCTCGTTAACGTCGTCCATGACGCTCTCGAGCTTCCATGCGCCTTCCAATCCATGCTCCATCTGGCCGATGCAATAGCATGCTTCATGTCGGAGGAGGACCTGGCAAGTTCGGTGAGGAGTGGTATGAGCAACACGCATGCACATACCGATTTGGTCTCGGGCTCCAAAACCTTATAAAGAGCCTCAATCGCCTCAGAATCGTCCCGGCTGCGGGCATAGAAGAGGGCGCGATACCTCTGTTCCACAGGGGCCTCAGGGTCGGCTAGGAGACCCTTAACCTCCTCCCAGGTAGGCTCATGATCATCACCGCGGAACTGTCTGGACATTTGGGCTGGGTAGTAGTAATTGGAAACTGATTGTAGATCTAAGTTCACGCTATAGGATTCAAAACAGGTCCGGAACTTGGCCATCCATAGCTCACACACGTTTTGCGCCACCTTCTACCTCGACAGCCCTCATCGGTACGCCCATTGGTCCTAAGACCCCGACACAATAGCTGTCCCCTCCACCATAGTTCTCTTACGTACTAGGAATAACTCCCCCAGAATAGAAGAGCACCCAATAGAAGGACGCTACAAGACCAACTCAAGCCGAAAACCAGAGCCAAAAGTTTCTCCTCAAGTGCTCCAACACGACGTCACGCGCCACAAAATTCCCTCGCGGCGAGCCGCTGCCTAGTGCTGCTCACCATCACCACTACTGTGAACTCAACTCTCTCTCTCAGTGTTTCGAAAATTCACTATTAGAACCTCCGCATGTTATACGACGACGCCTTCCATATGACGGATGAGGGATATATCCACTCAAACGCTGTGCAATGATAATAGTATCAAAAAGGTGCATCGTTGAACTTAGTTCACACGAGTATGTTCTTCCACCATACCAGGGAGTACACCCTTGCCAAGGACATAATCCTGGGCCCAGTACCCAACCTAAGCCATACTTCCAACTCCTCCGAGGCCTCTACCATAGATCTGCTCACCTCCCATCTGACCATCTCGTCCTTATTCCACATCTTATGCACCCTCTCTAGTGTCTTTAAGTCGAACATGTCACCATCCTGCAGCTTTAATAATGTTTAATAACAGAGCCTTTGCACTTACGGACATAAAAGTGTCTCTGACGAGGGTCTGCGTCCAGTAACGGTCCTCGTAGTAGAGCCGCACGAGCATGAAAATTTGATCACATTCTCCACAACGGTACATGAAACCTTCCCTGAGAGTGGTAGGATCACTACCAGCGACCGTTGAGTGAAGCGGTTACCTGCATCTAAACCACAAGGTGAAATGCTCCTCATCACCAACTCCCCCAGTGCAGGCTACAACGCGCTCCTGACCCACAGCTGGGACCAGGACAGGGTTCTCTATAGTACCAAAAGGGCCGACAAAAGATGCCCCTCTCAAGTACTCGTATCTGCATACCAGTCTTCCACCACCCGCACTTGACCACCAGTAGGATCTACAGCTCGATAAGCCCCATCATATGGCTCGAAGGTTCATCGACAATCTGAAGTCCCATGTCCCTGGCCAGGCCAATGTAGCTCTTAGATGGCAGAGCCTCTGGGTCCAACAGTGTTGCCTCTCCACGTATTCTATTATACCTAGGCAGTTGCGTTGTTGGGATGAATACATAAGACCTATGAGGTACCAGTAGTCCTCTACGAAGCCTCGTTCGGTCTGTGGTGTGGCCATCAGAGTTTTCACGTCCTCAGGCATGGAGTCCAAGGGCAGAGCCCAATCGTCCTCAGACATACGGTGCCAATGACGATACCTACCGCATAGTCAGGTGAAGGGAGGGCAGTTGATCCTAGTAAGCGAACAGGAGATCCATGACCTAAAGTAGTACCATCTGCTTTGCTGCTTATTTGAGAGTAGAGTAGCTCGATTGGATAGGAGGGATGCCCCGAGGGAGCGGTTGAAGGTCCTCGTTAGCAGGGTCATGATGGTACTGGCGACTAAAATTGACTTTTGGGCGATCCCGTTTGCATATGAGCGGAGCGACGCACTTTCTGCAAAATTTGTACTTCGTATTTCGCCAGATCCGTTCAGAAATTGGAAAACAAAAAAGGGGAAAGATGTGATCGACAACATATTACCATCATTAGTGCTTACATGGCACTTATTTCTTCCTCTTCCGTCTTTATATGACTCCAAGGTGTCATTCCCTTTCAATCGCTACGTAACAGCCGTCAAGAGTCCAGTGACTTCATGGCTCATATAACTCGCTAATGTTATGTTTTCGTCCACAATGTGGACTCGACATACTTTCCCTACGACTGATTCCTTTTCCACGGCAATCTATCACGCCTATCGTATGGCCCGCAAGACCCTATCCGCCTTAGGTGTCTCTCCTCTCAAGGTGTATATGTATAGTGCCAGTTCCCGTTGAAGTGTAGCGATTCCTCTTGGCTTAACGACCAAGCTGCATAGAGCATTGTAGAGGTGTCCATGCTGCAGTGTAGCGTCTCTGGTGGTCTAGTTGAGTAACGAGATCTGTTGACTGAATGAATCGCAAGAATAGTGGAAGTTTTTTTAATCGACTCAGCGCCGTTATGTCAGCCGGGACGACAACGAACGAGATGAAGGCCTGGCGTGAGATCTTCGAAAAGGAGAGGGGGCAACAGCGGAAATGGATCCAGAATGTGATTTGGTTGATACTATCTCACAACTTCACGTTCTTCATAGGCGTTCGAAGAGTATAAGAAAAGCGGCAAAAGGCTGAAACCTCGATACAAGTTTGACGGTGAGTAGCAGTAGTTGTAGAGGGGGATGTGCTATCGGCTCATATTGCCAGGCCGTGGGTCTACTATATGGATCGGTCTTAATGCCGATCCCTGCAAGGCCAAGTACCTAGCCAAGTTTGATCTTGGAACGAGTGATGAAGCTGATCCCACGGTGACGTGATGATACGAATCGATGATGGTACTATAGTTTCGTCTTAGGAGCCCTTCCCTGCACCCAAGAGCTCAGCTGTGAGGTTTTTGGAACAGGTCGGGAAAGAGGACAATCCCTGTTTGCATGGGGTGATACTTTTAGAGGTTCGCTCTCTCACCGTCACCATACTGTGAGTTTTCCACGAAGAAGATCCCTCGGGGTGAGCTATTGGCACGAGAGCCCTCAGGTAGGCTGAGCGTATGTGTTGGTTGATTATGGTCATTGGTAGACGCTGTCGGGGAGGAACTCCTTGTCCATGGCGTTAGTAGTGAGGAGGAGGGGAAAAGGGCCTACCTAGATTTCAGAAGAAGGACCACGGGGCCACAGCAAGTAACGTAGCGTTTGATATAGACGTCTTATCACGGTCTTCAGAGATGTAATGGGGTCCCTGTTACTACAGCTATGGAAGTAGGATGGACAGTGCCGGCTGAAGGGGAGGCTCAAACTAGGAAGAGAACCCTCTCAGCAGGTAGTGGGTCAGTCTCACCTAGTTCCTCTATTGCTGGCATCAGGAGCTTCTGAGGGCAATGCTAGAGGCCTGATGAAAGCCACATTTTACCGTCCCAAGATTGCCGGTCATGGTGTGCATCGTCGAGAAGATGCCGGCGCCTTGGCATACTCTTGAAAGGGAGTCAGTCACTTTACCAATGTGTTGAGACATGTACTCATCGTCGTGTATACTCATCGTGCTTGCGTTGATTCTACTGCAGTAGAGAGGGAAGTTGTCGTAGCGATTTCTTTTTCATCTCTATGGTTTGCTCCGTCGCTACATTCGATGCCACGAATGTTTCCAATAGCGGTGCTTTGTCTAAGGAAGTCGACTATAGCGATGGTTCTAAGCCGGAAGTCCCAGCCCCACCACGCGCGTCGGTTGTGCTTAACATGATCCAAAATGAGGAGGGCCGGGACCAGCTGAACCAACAACAGGAGCCCCTCGTGGCATTGCTCAATCTCAAGGTCCTCAGTTTAGCTTGGCGCTGATGCTTTATATCGTGCATGTTTTCAGGCACAGAAACTTGGCCTTGGCTTGAAAATCGCCAGTAGAGGATTTTCGCAACCATCGTTCATCACTAAGGCCAAGGTCTTGACGACATGTGCTGCTCCTGTGAGTAGTGATGTAGAGAGAAATCTGCCTGACGCCGCTAAGATCGGCGAAGTTACCCCTGAAAATGCCAAGTATGCTATTGTCTGTGATACTACCTCTAGTGAGGAGGAAGTGGTAAACCCAGAGCCACCAATTAAAAAACAAAAAACTCATTCTGGAGCGCTGCTCAAGAATGCTCCTCATGACACAAGCACTCTGATGCGGAAGAAAAGAGTCTTCATACAAGGACTCTCCTATGGAGGTGATGGACAATTGCTCACAGTTGGAATTTCATGCTCTGAAGTTAGATATAAAAGATGGCTCCTCGTTGGTGATATGCTGTACTATGAATGATGTTGAAGGAGGCGAAAGTGATATGCCTTTAGTCATCGAGGGTTTTGAAAGTGTGGATAAGGCAATAGTGGTATCGGCATGCTGAAGCAATAGTCCCCATGACGAAAGAATACCCCCTCCTCCGTTTTCTGTAGGGAGTATTTTCATATAGGCGCGCAATGTAACGTTTCTGCCGATTTTCAACGGAGGGCATAGCATGGGGACTGATCCATGATTTATTATTGACCTTTTACCATAATTTCTTCAATTGATGATGACAACGAGGATATGGACCTGGCGAGGCGCTGAAGGATTTGTGGATTCTGAGAGCGCCTTGGTGAAGTTGAGCGCGGAAAGTATTAAAACTATTGTTGTCTACTTCTATTTGCTACCCATAATATCGTTACATATTTACTCAGTGTACTATGGCCACCTTATATGTGTAGGATGTGGTAAAGAGGAGCTGAAAGGTCGGTGTCATTATTTCGCACTACTACAAGTGTTCTCATGGGAAAGCAATAGTTCTTCGGTAACTAGCGACGACATTTTTTCACAGAGGTGCTCGTGAAGATTCCGTGTTGGTGGAATTGCGCGGTATTGGCAGTTCTGTGCTATCCATGGTGCTTCTTATGTGGTTGTGGTTGTCGGAATATTCGCAGTTTCGATCACGGTTCACCATGCTGCTGCAGACTTATACCACACCTCGATCAATATGAAGTGCTTTGTGTGGTAGGGGATAGTAGCACTTTTCTTATACTGTAGCACTCTTTGGGGAGATCGCTATTACAACTACCTCTTGACAGGAACGTCTGTCGTGTTTGAGTATCTCAGCCTTTTAGCGTAGTAGTTGATCGAGATGCTATTCTTCGACTTCTTCCAGAACCTCGTGGACAGCAACGCCCAGGTCACAGTGGAGATGAAGAATGACGTTCAAATAACGGGTAGTATCTTGAGGTGGAAGACAGCAGTGACAGAGGAGCTGCTCGTCAGGCACGTTGCCAGCAGTGGATCAGTATTTCAATGTTAAACTGAAGAACATCTCTATCAACAATCCGGAACAGGTATTATTTTCGTGGCGCGTGACGCTAAACTCTAGCGAATAGCATTAGAGTGAGGTGTCAATATGAGTATCCCTTGTATTAGCCGTGGTCATGAATTTCTCCAACGCGGGAATATGGGCTATCATATTAACAAGGAATCATGTGAAATGGTATCACCATGATATGAACCGTATCATAAACATATTGGGTCTTATGTATCCGTAGAAATCTCGGCCCTTCCCCTCAGTACCCTCATCTCCTCTCTCTACGTAATTGTTTTATCCGAGGCAGCGTTGTACGTTATGTCCACTTACCCGATATGTACACACAGGTGAGCGCGGCCGCAGGTCCATGATGATGATGATGCTGTTGTTTATGCTTATAGAGCTTAACTGATCAATGCCGGAAAGAGCTCGCAGCACAAAGCGGTGTCAATAGGATAGAGCCTGCCAAGTAACCGTTGAGCGCGAATACAATTTACCGACTCCCCGCTCTGTTGAGTTATCATCACACGATGAAGAACTCCGTACCATCGTAGTCGTTGTGGTACTTTGTTTGTACACGTATGGCTCGGTTTGGCGTGGATGCGTTGTGGGATGCTGACATGTCCTCATCTTCGGATGGAGAAGAGGAGGAGACGGACGACAGCCCTTTCCACGAGACTAAGACCATGGCTACGGGAGAATGGGATAAACTATTGAAGGGCACGGTAGTAAGAGAGGGCGATGAATGCCTGTTAGTGGGGGAGGTATTCGACGTAGTAGAAGCACGTGCGTAATAGGCTGGACGATATGCATGTACTCAACTGTGTGTCTTGGTGACCATGTGGGAATTCTGAGGAAATTTTCGAGAGTTTTTGTTGGTGTTTGTATACGTCTGCCCTAAGTCGTATGTGACTGTTCATAATATAGCGAGGAAACTCCTGAGTTGGGCTGAGGAAACCAAACATATATTCCAACACTGCTAGGTATTGGATCCCTCTACTATTACTTCAACGGATGGCATTGACGAGGACATGCTCTTTGAAGTGGGTGGGGAGGCTTCTGGAGAAGAAGAGGAGGAAGAGAAGCCGTCTAAGACTAAGGCGTCCGGGTTCGTGTACTGCATCTATCGCGGGCGTTACTTTATCGTGCAGATCTCCTGTTGTGGAAGAGGTCTTCAGTGGAGGGGGCCGAGCCCAGCCAGGAGCATTCACTGCATATAAGCCTACTTACTACGATATGGTCTCTGATGAGGTAGCTACTACCACTACTGGATCCTCCCTGCTTGGTCAATGGCCAAAACTCCGACATGTAGTACGATCGGTCCTCGGGGGCTAGCAGTGCTTCTCTCGGTCAGCCGTATCTACAGCAGCACCTCTCTTTCCGTCCTAGCTTTGGTGTAGATGCTCGAATGGCAATGCCAGTGGAGTCCACTCTTAACAGACATCGGATAAAGGTAGGCTCTGAGGACTCCATCGCGATCGATCCTGTACGGTAGGTCCTCCCATCAGTGCTGCCTCCTTCTCCAGAGACCGTCCCTGCCCCCTTTGTTGAACAGTGTTTCTCGGCGTTCACCTCAGTCGAAGGTAACACATCCATTACACTAGAGTGTTGTTGGTAGTAGTAGTCTTACTGTTAGGATCTACTGTGGCTTTGGAACTGTACGATCTCTATCGCTCATATGAAGGCTCCCCGAATGTGCAACGGAGGAAGAGTATCTTTTCTCTACTCTCTGGCATGCTGGAAGGTATTCTTCGTCTTAACCCATCATTCGGCGGCGATCGTATAGTAACCAACAGGCTTGATGAGAATCTGTTCTCATCTGTGTCCAGCCCAGCCTGAAAATTATAGATATTTTCTGGAGTCTTTGTAGAGGATGGAATATTATTTTCTCCCTATATGGAACGGTCATGGAGCTCCCATTGCCTCGTTGTTGATCAGATGATGCTACTGAGGGGGATGACGATCTACGTCCCTGGTTGTCGGAGATCAACCTACCCATCCCTTCTGGGTCCGATCCTCTAGAGCGAGCTTTCCATCAGCTCTTGGCTACTAAAGTAAGTCTCACTCCACAGGTTAGCTCATACCCCGGGATCTGTGCTCAGGTGGCAGAGGCGTCCAGATCCTTGCAGGCAGCGGGATACCCCCGACTGGCTCGTATCGCTGCCATCCTAGGCTTCGATTCGGCAGACTGGGAGAGTGCACGAAGTAGTAGCAGTAGTGGTAGTAGTAGTAGTAGTAGTAGTAGTAGTAGTAGTAGCAGTAGTGGTAGTAGTAGTAGTAGTAGTAGTAGTAGTAGTAGTAGTAGTAGTAGTAGTAGTAGTAGTAGTAGTAGTAGTAGTAGTAGTAGTAGTAGCAGTAGTGGTAGTAGTAGTAGTAGTAGTAGTAGTAGTAGTAGTAGTAGTAGTAGTAGTAGTAGCGTGATTTCGATTGTAACGTGACGGGTGTCGTAGGTGAAGGGACGGTATCCCTTCTCAAGCAGCAGTTGGCCCAGTGGAAGTTGGACAGCCCTGGGGAGTTCATCAAAGGGAACACTGTCACTGCGGTGTACCGACTCCTTGCAGGTTGGTACCTTTACAGAGTGATCTCTGCTTTAGAAGTTCTGTCAGGTGAGGTTCATTCGGAAGAGGTCCTCAGCCGTTGCCCAACCTGGACCGCTAAGCTCGCTGCATACTACTGTTATGGCACTAAGGCTGACGGGAAGCGATAGTAAGTTGTCGTCAACTGCTGTAGTCACATTATTGCTGTTCATCATGTTCCTCTCAGCTCACTCGTGGAGAGTATCAAAGCTGTGGGCCAGGGCTCCGGTATAGAGTGGGAGCTCTTGAGAGTTCGAGCAGGGATCGCCACCCCCGATAGGTACCCACTGGGGGCCGTCGTATCTGCCATGTCGTTCTTCCTCCTCAGCTTAGCCGAGTCACTACTTTGTTGCTCAACAGCTGAGCCATTCACCGCCTTCTTATCGTACCTCACCTATACGACAATCGATGCAGGTCGGCCTTCCATTCGCATCAGCTTTCGTACACCATCATCATCATGAGCATTCTAGATGCAACCTTGGAGTCCCTGCCGGCAGCTCGGTTGGCATCTGTAACGGCTCAGTGGCTGGAAAGTGTTGGTCTCTGGCAGTGGGCAGCTTTGGTGAGCTCATTGATGCTGCTGGCCCTCTTCCTCCCCGAATCGCCTCTGTCTTTGTAGGTGTACTGCGAGTACCTCCTGGTGCCCTCATCGAGTGTCCAGCTGTTGGTGACTGATCTGCTCTACCGTAATATGCCACGACCGTCGGACTCTTTTCGCCGCATTGTCCTGAGCCAGCCCGTAGATGACCAAGGCACTCCAGTGTAGGTCTATTCCTCGTCATCATCATCATCATCAATCCAGGCTAGGATCCTACGTGTAGGTTCTGTTCGAGAGAAGCATTGCTTCCTCAGCCGGTGGTGGCAGCTCTCAGTGCCCTTATGGGAGAGGATGACCTCAACGCCTTGTTATGGTCGGCTGCGGCTCCGAGATTTGAACTACACACAAGAGACTCCCGTATAACTGTAGCCATACTCGGTAATTGCTGATGGTCTGTGCTCAGGTCTGGCCGGAGCAGTTTGCTACATGAATGCTGGCGATTGGCGAGAAGCCGCTCGAGTGATGGACCGTGAGGTGAGAGGCCCTTCTACAGCTACTGCTACCATACTCCTGCCTTGTCAGTTATTGACTGCTCTCGAGGACGTCATCCTCGGAGGAGACTCTCCGAATAGTCGGATGAGTGGTATGGTATCGCGGCTGGCGTTCCTGGCCAGTGGTAGTACCAACAGCAGTAGTGCCGATCCTATGAAGGATTGGATACACTTTGCCAACGCTGTACTCTGGAGGCTTCTGAATACTCCTCGGAAAGGGGTGTCATCCCTAGGTACTGCAAGATGATGATGTACTCACATCTACCTTCATCGCCAAATGCAAGGCCTGTAACCATCTAGGAATAGAGAAAGACGCACTCCTCCGAGAGGCGTATGTGCCCGCAACAGGCTGACCGACTTCGTCATTATTGCCTTCAGGTCCTCTAAGAACTCCAGTTCCTAGCAACGTGTATCTGTTTCAACGTCAGGCAGCTTGTGTAGTGGAGTTCTTCAATTTGTCGTCGGGGCAGGGTTGTAGGCAGTAGGTTTGTGTATATGCCACTCTGCTGCTTGCGAGCAGCTCCTGCCTTGAGAGCATTGCCCTTTGCCCGTCCTCGACAGCTGTGCCGTCTTTTTTGCTCAATACCATCAACGACCCCTGGAAATGCCAAGTGTGACTTCTGCTACTCTTGCAGCAACGACGACCCTTTTAGAACGGTTGTGGACGGCGAAGGCACGGGCCATGCGGAGCTGCTACAGCGGTTTACCCCGCGGCCCTTCAACCCACGCTTCGCCTACACCAGCCGGCCCTTCTTCCCTATCTGTGCTAAGAACATGAGGAACGGTCATGGCCGACAGGTGAGCCGCTTGTGCTGATGCCCTATGGTGATGATGATGGTACTGAGTGGAGGTCCAAAAGAAAAAGAAGAAACGTGTTAGAGGACGAGGGAAAAGTCAACGCGGTATCAAATTGCAACACGATCGAGGAATGGACGTGGTAAGGATGGCGAACGACACCTGTTATCATTCGCACATGGAATAACCTTCTAGGACCCCGAAACTTGGGATGGCGGGAATCGGGCATATTACACTAAGTGAGGTTCAGTTGGTAGCATGCTTGTTCACTATAAGGTAGGTTCCCCAAATGGCCTGGAGCTAAACGGGAGATGTCCAGCAAGTACCAGCAGCTTGAGACACTAAGTCTAGCTAGATTAAGGTTGAAGTGGCGCTGCGGAGCTTGTCTCTATCCCGCTAGTTTTCAGGAAGTTCATCGAGTACGGTCGGCTAGACACGAGGTATCCAATCACTCAGCGGCACCTTTTCGAGAGCAGATGCGTCAAACGTGTTCGGAATGGCGTTCGGCTTTTCAACTACAACGATTATCCCTTCCCGTAGTGCCTCATCTTTGTCATCGAGGACCGATGCGGCCTTCCATAGGTATAAAGTCGATATCGAGGTTGCTAGTGTGGACCAGTCGTCTATAGACATGATCAAGCGAGTTGGTGGCAGCGTCACTGTGGTGTAGGTAGCTTAGCCCGTGACGGTTCGTTTCAGTTGCCTGCAGGTATATGGAACGAGTGGCGCTACGCGCTCACATCAAACCGTGGAAATTCGAGGTCCTCCCCAAGACGGCTAGACCTAACTTGGCAATGGTTCATTACATGGAGAAGATGAGGGCAAGAGGGGCGAAAGTTCGGTGAGATGTGTGGCAACAGGTTGAGCTGATGACAGCGCAGATACATCAAGCCGTTGTGGCTGTTGGATGAGGAACAGCGTGTTCGCGCACAACTTCGTGAGGAGATGGCAGAAGAAGACATCGCCAAGGAGACAATCCCAGAGCTAAACTCATGAGTATATGTTGTTGTGTGAGTGATGTTTCTGAGATGTCGCAGATCTGTGTATAAATGTTACTAAATGGCGAGTTAATTTTCACATGATCATGTTAGAACACAGCCAGGCCAATTTGTACTATTGAATTTCGTTTGTAGAGTCGGTTTGGCACTCTGAATGGTAATCACTCAACAATCTTATGAAGCGATGGCCGCCAACAGCAACATTGATAGGGTTGAAATTTTGAACGACCGCGATTGTACTATACCATGCGAAGGCAGAGCCTGTGATGAGAAGGTCCACAATTCCTGACCAATACGAAGTGCCGGAATATATGTTCGCCCTCCTCAGCTGATCTCAAGAGTTTCCTCACAAATTATAGGAATAAGGGTAGAAGTGTACAGAAATTAACAAGAATTCCCCGAAAGTTCCTCAGAATTTTCATATTGTCACCAACACATGTAGTTGACTATGTGCATATTTTCCTACACTGCAAATACGTATCACTACAGTGCAACTCGGTCCAATATTAACATCTCCCTCATAACTTACGAACTCACCTTACACTGTACAAAACGGATCCCACCCGTGATGTGAAATACACTAGTGCAAAACATATTCATTTGACGGAAAACAGTTGTATTATCGATCGCGGAGATGTATACGTCCTACAATTCACATGGAGTATTACGCCACTTCACGTTAAACGGGTGAAACTCCACTGTACGCAACAAGATATGGAATATTGACGAGCGACTGGCAGAACTATCACTAAAAATCAATTAATCATAGTGAGAGGCCCAGCAATGACGCGCTATGCTGATTGTTGAAGTAGATAACCGATTCTCGCACCTGCAACAACGACGATGCATGGCCAATACCGGCCTGTCTCGAATAGCGAATAGCTTCCTACCGCACAGAAGTGGATTATGGCTGCTACCAGGACAAAGAGATGCCATACACAGTGAAGGATGGGGACGCACTGGAACGGATAACAGTGATGATGGGGAGGGGTGGGATGACGCCTTACTTTGATATTGTCCAGGATGTAGAATGGCAGGCCTGCCATGTAGGTGACACCACCGCCAGTGATAAGATATCTAATGTGCACCTAGGGAAAGAACCTCTCCTGCTACAGCGAATGGGACCACACAATAGAAGAGTTGGGCAGTGGCCACTTACAGGAGTCGCGGTGAAGAAGGTGTCGTAAACCGCTAGGGCCATCCATCCCATGAGAACATACAAGAACAGCTGAAGAGATCCTCATAATGCGCAGTGGACGATTATGATCAACTTACCTCGCCGTAGACATACAAGGGGGCGTGACGGATCTTGGGGAAGTGGACGGCTATGATGTGAGCTGTGATACCAACTCCAGCGAGGGCCCACTCAGCTGTCATCACCCAGCTGCCCTGTCACACGATAGCTATGCTACACACACAGCCACTTGTCAACTTACATTGGGATCGTCACCGAATAACAGAACGCAGAAAGGAGTATAACTCCCCGCGATAAGGACGAATATAGAACTATGGTCAAGCACTTGAAAGATCCTTGAGGTCAGGTCTAGCATGAAGAATGCATGGAACAGAGTTGAGACGGCGAACAGGAGCTGACAGAAGGGACCATTGAGGATTATACAGCAAGGCAAAGGAGAACTCACAGAGCAGCTCATCATATAAGCCACAACCGCGATCTTGCAGCGGTAGGGATCATCAGCAGTGAGGACCATAAGGTCGATCAAACCGGGGACGACCAGAACCCTGAAATTGGTATGATCTACTGCTAGGACCGAGAAAGGAGGCAATCCTACATCCCAAACCCGTGAGTGAGAGCGTTCCATATCTCTTCCACTACGAAGTTACCATCAAAGTTCACACGACAATGACAACAAGAATGTGGGGAGAAAGCTGAGGAGGAGACCGCCAATGAGCTTTCAATCAATAACAACAACGCCACCTTACGCTGGAGTTCTCGCTTCTCCTCTCCAGATTTGGACATAGACTCCTGCTGCTCCGCGTTCATCTCCATCCCATCGGTCTATCCCAAAGACCACTACCCCTCAGTGACATCCTTCACAGTGTACTTACTAACGCCTTGTTCCGACTCTCTACAGCGGCGATAATTCTGCGTATGTTCATATAACCAATACTGAAAGGCCACTATGAGCTCACGAATTCCAAAGCAGGAGCAGTACGCATTGAAACTAATATCTAGATAGCGCAAAGTCTTCGGCCCTTCCTCGACTATACGCAGGACTGACTCCTGACCATTTTCATATCTAACGATAACTCGTACAAGACGCTATCTAACATAAGCATCATCACCCTAGGTAGTTGTGGGAGAGTATGAGGTCCTTTAAGACTTTCAACTGCACTACTCCCTCGGCAAGCTGCCTAGCCCCGTGGCCATCAATGCCTATCAGTCAACAATCACGCACATCGAAGAATATCTTTATCGGTACCTAGCCTCTGAAGATCGAGTTTCTTCAGGGAGCTGGCAAGACTAGGACATGGAATCTGTAGAGCACGGCCGATCCAATTGCCTTCTCCTCTCCACCCACGACTAAGAGAAAACTCACTACTTAGAATCAGATCGATGAGTACCCCACTCACCTAAGATGAGTGCCAATATAAAGGCCTTGGACGAAAGGCGCCTCGCCAACGGTCTGCAGAACTGGCATCAGGCTGGAGTCCAGCGGGGACCTCAAGCTCATCACCACTTGTGGCCAACGTGTCACCAAGGTCGTCACAAAAGCAGGATCAACCTTGGGGGGAGTCCAGGAGGAAGATAGCATCTTTGAAAGGTCCCTACCTTTGATCCATAGGCGTCACACAAGCCTGTGTAGAAATCCAACAGGCATTTTGAACAATGCGAGCCGACGGTGCACTCAGGGCACCTCATGAGGACCGGTATGGCACCGTTTCGAATTCCATCTGACCAAAAACGCCCCGCTCCACCGCTACAACCACACCCTCCTCGTACAGCCGCTATCAGCAGAGCTCTTACCGCCTTCATCGCGACTGCATAGCATATCACCCGAGGACATAGAGAATAAAAGGGGCTAGAGTTAGTGACTGACGATAAGACTGAGTCATGAGGCGATGCCCAGTGGGGCTAGGATTATACCCAATGTATTGTGCAACCTGTCTCCTCCGACTAAGAACGCAAATCACGGAGATTAACAACATTAGCAAAGGACATTGTCACTACGACCATGGGCCAACATCAATGTAGACTGGTAGAGCCCAAGAAGGCTATCAGCCAGCAGCCACCGAGCCTTCGTAATCGTTGCTCTTGGCGCCCTCAGAAGGAGTCCTCGAAGAGCTCGGCGGAGTATATTCAACGACTTTCTCCACATACTTCTTCACGACCTACCACCATCACTAACTCGATCAACCAAGACAGACTGCCAAGACACACCTGAGGTACTTTAACCTCCTTCACGACTTCAACGTACTTCTTAACAGGGACGTCCACGTACTTGTCAACATACTCTATCTGAAGGCCAACTCAATATCCTTGCCACCGCGAGCTCTGTCACCCACCTGTGGCACTTCAACGAACTTCTGCACAGTCTTCAGCACAGGCTTACTAACCATTTTCTGCGGTACTGGAATGTCAATTACCTTATGAACCACCTTGGTCACCGGCACCTCCACTTCTCTATCGATGTACTCCATCTGACAGCCATACCACACCATACCCAACACCTACCAGAGTGCTCCCACTACCTTAGTGTTGGCCGATTCCTGTTGGACTATGATATCGGGCGGAGGATACGGCGGAGGCGCGCACTGCAAAGAAAATCGCCTATCTCACAGCCCTGCCAATCTAACGCCTTACTGGAGGAGGAGGGGGAGGAGGAGGGGGGATGGACGGCGGTCGCCTTCCAGAAGGAAACTGAGCCAATCTCAACTCCCTATCACAAGACCCTCTACAGAGCCTTACCGAGTGGGGGTGGACCGGTGGGTTTACAGACTTGCCATTCCTCGGTCGTGGACGATACACCATTGGGGCACCACACATGGGAGGGGGCGGCGGTGGGGGACCCTCGGGACAGGGAGGGTGTCTTATCATTCGTAGTAATAACAGTTACTACAATCAAGGCACTACTACATCCCTCGAGATCAACTAGAACAACACCACTACTACTCAGCCTCCTCAGCGAATGCTACTATTCACATAGTGAGCAGGGTAGAAACGACCGTGACGGAGAAGGGGCACAGGAGCAAGTTGTCTCCCTCAACGATAGGGGCTCGAGATAACGAACCATACGAATGAACGACCTTCACCAAATATTCGGCCGGCCTCTAGACCCTCCCCCTCTGTCCTGTGGAAGCCATCTCAGACTGCATGGTCATGATCGATAAATACTATAGTAAATACTGGCTGGCAAAGTATCAACCATCCCATCGCCATTAGGAGGAACACAATCACTCCAACACTAACGAAACTACTGTTAGATCGCCTCCTTTCAATGGTAACTGGGAATGGTCAGTACTCATCGACTCAAGAAATTGCCAATTTGGTCCCGAACACTCGACAGAGCCGACTTGAATGACGCCTCCTGGGTCACTCCAGAGTAACCTACCAAACTCAACACTGGCATCCTCATAGTGCCCATCATGACCATCCCCACCTCGCAAGCTCCTTGAAGTCGTGGCCGAACGATGGTCATCACTCGCAGTAGTCGACGATTCCTCACTCTGCATCTTGATCCTGGATGTAATCACGCCAGAATCGGTCTCCAGTATAACCCTGAGGATATACCAAATCCATCAGCAGGGCCCATCACGTGCTACTCACCCTTTCTCCACCGCCTCATCTATCATGAGGAAAACCAAGTCCAGTTTCTCGATCACTTTCTTACGGCACACGTTATTACTAACAAGGAGCAGCTACCCTACTACGACCAACAGGACCAACGACCATCCTACTGTGTTATGTTGCACAAGACTTGATACAGGCTAGTGATGAAGTCCAACATCATGATATCATTCTCGCTCTCCCGTGCAAGCACCTGTGTACCTCATCCCGAGCCCTTATGATCCAAAGCCTTACCGCAAGCATAACGTCATTCGATTGCCGCACCAGGACCACGTATTCGTCAACCAATGCTACTTCGACTAAAGCGACAAGCCGAATACAGCTACTCATCAACCCTCTCCCATACCATCATTCCTGTTATTAAGTCTAGCCGTCTTGGACATGAGGTCTTTCTCGAATTTCTTCTCACTCGCTAGGTCGGTGAACTTACCCTCATCATAGTACCTACACCACTGTGCGACCACCGCTGCAGACCGACCCGACGTACTTAGCGGCGAGGCGCTTCCCCTCCTCATCCAAAAGGAGGACACCAGCAACACAGCGGATGGATGCCATGATAGAAGACTCAGCAGAAAAATTTGGTCCTGGCGACCTCACCATGCTTCGCCGAAATGCGCCGTCTACTTCACGCGCCACAAAATTACGCGCTCGCCCAGAACCCAACACAATCCTGACTGAAGGAGACTAATGTGCTGGGATGTTGGACTGCCGAGTAATAGCCTCCGTATAGGCACTCAATGACTTCTGTAGCTCTTCGACCTTCGTACGTAGCGCGACAATCCTGCACAAAAGCAATACCCCACTCCAGGTCGTTAGGAAAACAGAAGCCGTCAAACTGGACTACACCATTTCCCGGCCACACAAAAGCAGCTCACGATTGACTTTAGATAGTATGAGCAATCGATTTAGTTTTCGAATGGATTGGCATCCACTTCGAATAGTTTTTAAGATTCAAAAATCCGTGCCGTTCTTACTAAACCGCCAACTTCCAGCTCATTGAAGAAATATTAGTGCGAAACCAAAGCGCTGACGAGAAGATGGGGCAGATCAGTGACCCCCGAAGATTCAGAATAGGTCGGCACGCCGTATGAACTCACTCTTTTTCATTCACTAGGGTAGAGCATTTGGCAATCTCAAGATCCTGATCAGTGGGAGAGGACGAGTCAAGCTTCTTCTGTTGTGTGAGCTGTCCTCTAGTTAGGTCAATCAGCCGACAATTAGCATGCCACAGCTCCTCTGAGAAGGAAGGCAGGTCAAACACTATCCATTCTATCCATCATGGACTCAGTCAAGGATGAGAAAGATCCTCATAGGGTCCCCTATCTTGGCACGTCCCAGCGATGGGCGGGATAAGCCCTCGGACTCAATCGCACTGGAGTGTCTAGTATTACTCCGCTGTAGGTCCTTCAGCTGACTATCCTCCCGCCGCCGCTTCAGAAGATCTATCACATGAGCCATCTTCGACTCCAAGGCCGCTTGGCGGGCCATGACCCTAACACTCACGAGTATACTAACAGCACGACTGGGCCCCCCTCCTACGCCTGTTGTCGCTTCGTCAACCGCATGGTGAGAAGTACCGTCTCACCCACCTCCTCCTCAAGTACCGACAGACGGTTGATCAACGCCTTCTGTCGCTCCTCAAAGGAGGCCTGCAGCTCCCGTAGTAGACCAGCTACCCGCAGAGTCTGCCGTATCTTAGCATGGGCTTCCGCCACACGCTCCATCACAACAGACGAATCACCACCGACTAACCGCTTTGAACCTATACACACTATATACCGAAAACTGAGCATCAATACCGGAGTATCAATGCCCTGTCCATAACATATTCAAAGCAGTCATCACCTCACCCCGTCTATTACCTCCTGATACGCCTTCCAAGAGGCGTGCCCACTCAGCGGCTGATTCGGGGGTATCTGTTGATGGAGATCCATGGACCGAGTTCGACATGATAAAGGAACTGCAGCAGCCGTTCGCCCGACAGCGAATGACATAACACTAGCAACACTGTATGTGACTAGTCAATAGGTTATGGCGAAAACCCCATTAAGGGACATGGCAGTACAGCAGCACGTTACATAGGTTCTCAAACTTCTACATTGTAGAACCATCTACAAGCACCTCACCTTCTCCTCCAGCATCCTACTATGCGCCCGTTTATCTTACACAGTTTCATTTGTCGACTAATATAGCGAATGGTCATATAACTTCTCAACTATCGAGTATATCGAGTCCTCCATCGAGAGAATACCACTGCCGCTGCTCATTTGCTCACCACTGCCCACCAAGGACATGGGCCCGCCTTCCTGCCCAACCGAAGTCCATTGCCTATATTCTATACTCGATCAAAGAGCACCCCAGCGATGAAAATTCATATCAGCGATTGCTGCATTGTCTTAGCTCGCCACACATTCGTTGCATGCCAACAACTACCATGCTACCAATAGCGTGGGATTTCTCTCTGGAATTCTAACTACAGGGTGCCAGCATATACAACTCATGGCTGGCGCCTACTACATTGCTTGTGAAATGTTGGACAGGAATCGCCCAGCCGGATGGGTATTGCCAGCTTAGGACTTCAGTAGTAGCTACAACCCTCCTCATCCCAACTACCCGCCCCCCCCCACCAAGGGACCCCATAGGCCCTTCGCAGTGAACACGGCATCCTATGACAGCCCGTAATCGGAGCTCTGATCGTAAGCATTCCTGTCTTGTCCGAAAATGTATACCAAATTCGGCCCAAATCGCCCTTGATCATAATAGTACAGCGAACTGCAAGCTGATCTAAGTACCGCACTCTAGAGCGACAACTGATCCGTATCGACGTCTACTTTCCAACAGAGGGGCGTCACTACTCAATAAAAAGGCTGTGTATTAGCATAACCATCTCCAGAGTAACCGCCAGTGATGACAATACCAAGGACTGCGATAAAGGATGATGCGATCATTATAATAAAGCCAACTACCTGAAAGTAAAAGTCGACTGGTGGCTGGTAATAACTCTACCAGCCATGATCGGGCACATATGTCTACTACACCATATGGCACCGGGAGCCATGGAAAAGCCACTGTTGGTATATATGTTCGCTCTCCTCAGCTGAGCTCAAGAGTTTCCTCGCTTATTACACAAGCATATATCGTATCCAACTGCGTATATAAACTGTATACTAATTCGGATTGAAATTTTCAGAATCCGACAAGAAATTTCCAAACCTTACTCAAACCCTTCATGTTGTGACTGACACATGTAGTTGACCATGTGCATATTTTTACATCGTAGTTAGAAGTTGTCCCTTACCAAACACAACATGGTGAAATCATTGAGTTATAGGGTCTCAAACGTTTCGTCAAAACTTTTTGGAAAGTAATAAGAAGCCGCAATGCTTTGTAAGATGAGAAATCCCTAAATTTCGTTGTTAGCAAAGAGCGGCTAAGGGGAACAAATAGTTGTCGCACGATGGAAGTGAGTGATTGGATATAACGAATGCTCAAGACGCTTTTCTACGGATCGCGATGATACTACAATTACCGGTTTCTGAAACTTATACCGGAGCTAGGTAGTCTCCATAACCGGAACATACATGTACTCGAGTATGTTGCATTCACCTGAAAAGGACGACAGTGGATGTCATAATGAACGTCGAAGCTCACCGTAACCGGAAACTCCTCGCTTTATGTAAAAGTACCCATCTATACCCCAGGAAGTTCCCCAAGAATTTCTGCCGATAAAATAACTGATAAAAAAAGTTGCAGTAAGCATCCATACGGTGCCCTATTCTTACTCATTTCCAGATACGCTGCCATAACCAACCATCACAACAGCGTGATCAATCTGATAATTACAGTCACCTGAAACCGGTGGTAATCCTTACACATCAGCATTGAGCGCAAAACTTACCAGAGTATATTCCACCGCTATAAAATTGGAAATCGGGATCCGAAGCATACATGGCGACGGAGACTGGAACCTTAACTAACTTACTCATCAAAGACGGCTCAGTTGATAGCTGGTAATAGCCAGTAACAACCCCGGCCTGTTAGGAATGATGATGATAGTAGTAGTGTTCGATACAAATATTACCTTCATGCCGTCGGAGAGTTTCTCAAGGGAGATTCGGCAAGTATTGTCACTTCCTTCATAAAGGTAGGTAAACTCGAGATCGATCCCTTTATCCTTTACATAATCAAAAGCTTGATACATCCAGCCTCCAGCACATCCACTGAAATGTGAGCTGTGTGAAAATTTCCTAGTGTAAAATGTAGACATACTCAACTACATGTGTTGGTGAGAATATTGAAATTTTGAGGAAATCTTCGAAACCATTGCTCACCCAAATTCGTATATACATTCTTTTATTCAGTGAAGAATTCTTAGGCTCAGCTGAGGAGAGCAAACATATAGTCCTCCAAAACTGGACGAGAAACACATGAATATGCTGCTGATTGGCTTTGGTCTAGTGGTAGAATACAACGTTGCCATAGTTTTGACCCGAGTTCGATCCTCGGATAATGTACCATGATTGGCCTCGGTCTTAGAAGCCATGAAAAAACTATATTCTTGTGTTTATCATGGCTCCTAATACCAAGGCCAATCGATGCCACTTACCCGGTCCCATAGCCTCTACTGCAATCGACAAGCTGCTGCTCGGAGAACGACCGGAGCTGACCCGTCTCGATGGCATACTTCGACTCGAGAGTACCTGCAAAGGTTCACACAAGTACGTCCAAGAGACGTTACCGGTCGATGAGAAAGCCCAGCAGCTTCCACAGGCTCCTTGATTCTTAATCGGGGTTAATACACCCTTAGATCTCCAATCCACCGAGGTTGGGAGCGATGTGGTATCAGCTGACACAAAGAGACTCAATCTGGCATGAGAAATACAACTGGTCCTACCTTCAACATCAAACTTAACATCCCTCCTCGCATCCATCTTTAAAATACCGACCTTCTGGGCGACGAACTCCTCGTGTGTGAGGTCCGCATACTCGTTGACACCCAGCGTGTAAGACAGATCTGCATAGCTAGCCACTCGGCTCATGGCGAATATGATGTTACTCACTCTGAGCGTTGACTTGCTCGATGTGATGGAGATTGGCTTGGAAGATGGCATTCCTTTTCATTTCTTCCTCCTTAGACTCGTATTTTTTACCGAACCTGCACGCAAGACATCAGAATGAAACACCACTTGACGACCACTTCACTTATGCTGGAAATCGGTAAAAGCCAAGTCCGCAGTTCCCTCGTTCAAGCACTCGAACGCAGGTAGGATTGAAAGGAGAACGAATGAGACGATAGTGCGCATTTGAGAAGCAAAGCCCACTGATAAGTTGGGGTTGTTTGTAGACTTTCTAAGGGGAGGACCGGTACTGCTACCCGCTACGGTGGCGGCGATTCCCAATTTTCTTGCGATCCCAAGAAATTGGGTATGGAAACGGTGTTCATTCTTAGAGGGAAGTCGTAGTAGACTTGGCAGTGCCAAGTTGGCACTCAGGAAGTTCCAAAGCGATGAAAGCCTTAAAACTTCACGTGAACACTACGCTACGTTCACGCACAAACTCGATGAGCGGAGCGAAGTGAGTCTTCTTCCATGTTATGGAACATGAGCACTCGGAGGCCAGCCATCACCCCAGCCACAACGTGAGGTTATCTCTACGGATTCAGAATTGACATTTCACTATGCGGTATTACGCGAATCCAAAAAGTCTTGCATCTCAAGTCCTAGCACCTGGTAAAAAGGCCCAGCTAAGAACAAGAAGTCCCCTTGAAGAGGGGTGACCTGTATCAAGTGTGATAGTCCTATACAAGGAAACACAAATCCGAATTTGATAATCAAACTCGTCCGCCTGCACAATGCGACATGTCTACACATTCGCGCCAAAATAGCGTTATGGCTGCACCGATGTGTGGTCAGCGTAAAATGACCACCCGCCTGTATAGGGAGCCCCCCCATGAACAACACGATAGTAGCTTCGCTCTCGGCGAAGGAAGAGGCATTTCATACTACTGCTTGGCCTCTTGCATCCCTCCCACAGAGAATCTCACATCACTCCACTCCGTGGAGTACACTGCTGAATTGGATTCAAACTGGGACCAAAACTATAGTATCATTACTCACGAGGACCAAGCTGTCATATTCCAGAAGCTTCACTATGAAGTGGTTGATATTCGGATGAGACTACCATCCGAAACATGAGAGACACCCAAGTGCCTTCCCAGGGAGGAATGCAACCCTACCGCGATGTTATTTGTTCACACATATTATGGTTAGCATCGCGACATTATCAAGCCTCGAAAAATTATCATCCAGAAACAGGCGTACGTTTGAGATGAAGAGAATTTTAGGGCGTAACGAAACGAACCATCGATACACATAAATGCTCAAAGTGAGTTGCAACTGAACTTGGGCACTTAAGTGTCGACTTTGTTGGAACGTGTCAAGTTTGACAGAGACGTGTCCTAGCGATACCCCACCCTCATTTCGGCAATAAATTGTCGATACTAAAGTCCACGATAGGCCAATGCATAGCACCTGGCCAGGCATGTCCATAGATCATCCTTCCGCGTGTAATGGACATGTCAAAGTGTCAAAAATCTCCTCGACGACTTTGAACATTTACTACTTGACATGTCGAAACATGACGCAATTGGCCGCAGTCACTGCAACACACCTTCCCATCCCAGAGAGGTTCCTCACTTGTGAGAGCCTTCCTAAGTTCTTGGTGCTTCCTCACCGACATATGTCGGTGACCATGTGCACAAATTTCAACACTGCCCAAAGCATTACCGTCGAGACCGGAGAGTAGCCCGATGTGTACCAGGTGAACAGCTGAGGAGGATCGGCCAGAGGAGGAATTGGAACTGCTGATGTCCGAGCTTAGACATACGAGGGAGTGAATAGTTACTCCACCTATCGATACCTACGCAGTATTATGATGATCACAAATAGGCTGGGGGTGATGACCCCCATGCCCCAGATGCCCAACTGAAGAGGCTTGACGCTTGTCAAGACCGTTTCATCGAGCTTACTGGATGTACGCTACCTAACCTGGCGTGGCGCCGATTGTGGGGATGATGTCCTGGCTCTATAAAGTAGTAGTCCTCAGAGATGGCCCTCCATCTCTAGTGTCGCGTTTTATACTAGTAGACAATCATTCCTGCGTTACTCGTAGCTCCACTCGGCTGAAGAGCAAAAAACACGGGTATCAGTTGGTAGTTTCGAAGAAGAATAGCGATCTAACCATCTATCGTCGGTGGATTAGGGCGCTCGATCTGTGGAATTCCTTACCGCCTGAGTGTTTCCCGACTGAACGCAATCGGAAGGACGATTTCAAACGCGCCGTGTCAGCATTGAACCATTTTTTGTAAAAAAAAACAGAAACCCTCCAATACTACCAGAGTGTCATCCTCGCGTATTTTGATAACTCGATGTACGACATCCAAGCCACCAATAGGGGCGCCAAAAGATACAACAGCGTTGTCGCCAAGTGGCGGGAGGGGGCTTAAGTGTGGTTCCTGGTCCATGCCAGTATATAGGGACCCTATAATAGGGTGCTGTTCTAGCAGGTGGCCTCGCCGTTTATGCAAATAATTCCGGTACTGGAATTTTTCACGCATTTTGATATAATCGTTATCGTCTTGAGTAGGCAACAAGTCACAAGTCAGTGCTTTTTCAGTGTGGTCCACACCATGCCTTCTACAAAGGAGACTCGCCAAGTACTGCCTGAAGCTTCCGAGGCTCCCAAACCCGTTCGTGAGGAGGATGCGGCCCTGCAAGAGTTGGAAGACTCTAAGGATACTCCCGGTTTCGAAATTGGAGACGATATTGTTGAAAATGCAAGTACACATGCCAGTGGTGATGAGGAGTAATATCAAGGCTGTGGGGAGGACTCAAAAGCTGACGAATCTCCCCGAATCGAATTACTCTAACTGGTAGAGAGATTGCTTATTTGTTCTTGTCATTTTCAGAGGGGAGGAATCTTCCGAGACTGAGGACGATTACGATTCGGACGACTCTGATGATGAGTAAGGGGCCAAAAGTGGAGGATATTGAAGAGCTGCATCATCTCAGGTATACTCGGAACCGTATAGGCAAAGTACCGCTGAAGTGGTATCTCGACAACCATGATCATATTGGTTATGATATCTCTGGAAAAAAGATTGCACGCACTGTGAAGACTTCCGAGATAGATACTCTCTTGAGAGCGGTAGTAAGGGCCCAGGCATTGTATGGAGGAGATCAGATTCATCGTGCTAACATAGCTGTCGCTTGTTAGGCTGAGGATCCCGATGCTTGGCGCACCGTCACTGATATCAAGAACGACAGGGAGATCAAGCTAAGTGACACCGACCTCAGGATCATACAGTGAGATCAGCCGTAGTCAACTGGCCGCCTGTCATTCAATGCCGACCTCAGGCGTATCCGGAAGGGCTTTTTCCCTACTGGTCGTGGTGATGGCGATGAGGATGAGGAATTCCAGGTAGGGTGGTGAGGTGTCTAGGAGTAGTAACCAAGGCTAATCATGGTAGGTTGAGTATGAGGACCGTATAGAAGACAAAATTCACCCAATGAGGACTCGATACCCCACGAAGAAGTCGTTCATGCCGGACCAAGACGAGGCCCGTAAGGTCAATAGATTGATCAAGCTCATAAGGGCGGGAATTATCAAGCCTAAGGAGGAGAAGCCTGCGAAGGAGGATGTATTTCATACCGCTCCTCGACGAAATCACTACTTAATGAAAAGGCTGTGTATTAGCATAACCATCTCCAGAGTAACCGCCAGTGATGACAATACCAAGGACTGCGATAAAGGATGATGCGATCATTATAATAAAGCCAACTACCTGAAAGTAAAAGTCGACTGGTGGCTGGTAATAACTCTACCAGCCATGATCGGGCACATATGTCTACTACACCATATGGCACCGGGAGCCATGGAAAAGCCACTGTTGGTATATATGTTCGCTCTCCTCAGCTGAGCTCAAGAGTTTCCTCGCTTATTACACAAGCATATATCGTATCCAACTGCGTATATAAACTGTATACTAATTCAGATAGAAGTTTTCAGAATCCGACAAGAAATTTCCAAACCTTACTCAAACCCTTCATGTTGTGACTGACACATGTAGTTGACCATGTGCATAATTTTCCATCCTAGTTAGAAGTTGTCCCTTACCAAACACAACATGGTGAAATCATTGAGTTATAGGGTCTCAAACGTTTTGTCAAAACTTTTTGGAAAGTAATAAGAAGCCGCAATGCTTTGTAAGATGGGAAATCCCTAAATTTCGTTGTTAGCAAAGAGCGGCTAAGGGGAACAAATAGTTGTCGCACGATGGAAGTGAGTGATTGGAATATAATCATTGGATATAATAAATGGTCAAGACGCTTTTTTATGGATCTTGATAGTCGGAACATACATGTACTCGAGTACGTTGCATTGACCTGAGAAGGACGACAGTGGATGTCATAATGAATGTCGAAGCTCACCGTAACTGGAAACTCCTCGCTTCAAGTAAAAGTACCCAGCTATACCCCAGGAAGTTCCCCAAGAATTTCTGCCGATGAAATAACTGATAAAAAAAGTTGCAGTAAGCATCCATACGGTGCCATATTCTTACTCTCGTCCAAATACGCTGCCATAACCAATCATCACAACAGCGTGATCAATCTGATGATTACAGTTATCTGAAACCTGTAGTAATCCTTACACATCAGCATTGAGCGCAAAATTTACCAGACGAGTATACTCCACCGCTGTAAAATTGGAAATCATGATCCGAAGCATACAAGGCAACGGAGACTGGACTTTTAACTATCTTCGTCATCAAAGCCTGCTCAGTTCGTTCTAGCTGGGACCAGCCAGTAACAACCCCGGCCTGTTAGGTATGATGATGATGATAGTAGTAGTAGTAGTAGTAGTAGTAGTAGTGTTCGATACAAATATTACCTTTATGCCGTCGGATCGTTTCTCAAGGGAGTTTTGGCAAGTATTGTCACTTCCTTCATAAGGGTAGGTTGACTCTAGATCGATCCCTTTATCCTTTACATAATCAAAAGCTTGATACATCCAGCCTCCAGCACATCCACTGAAATGTGAGCTGTGTGAAAATTTCCTAGTGTAAAATGTAGACATACTCAACTACATGTGTTGGTGAGAATATTGAAATTTTGAGGAAATCTTCGAAATCATTGCTCACCCAAATTCGTATATAAATTCTTTTATTCAGTGAAGAATTCTTAGGCTCAGCTGAGGAGAGCAAACATATAGTCCTCCAAAACTGGATGAGAAACACATGAATATGCTGCTGATTGGCTTTGGTCTAGTGGTAGAATACAACGTTGCCATAGTTGTGACCCGAGTTCGATCCTCGGATAATGTACCATGATTGGCCTCGGTCTTAGGAGCCATGAAAAAACTATATTCTTGTCTTTATCATGGCTCCTAGTACCAAGGCCAATCGATGCCACTTACCCGGTCCCATAGCCTCTACTGCAATCGACAAGCTGCTGCGCGGAGAGCGACCGGAGCTGACCCGTGCCGATGGCATACAGCGACTCGAGAGTACCTGCAAAGGTTCACACAAGTACGTCCAAGAGACGTTACCGGTCGTTGAGAAAGCCCAGCAGCTTCCACAGGCTCCTTGATTCTTAATCGGGGTTAATACATCGCCAGTTGCATGTCTCCAATCCACGTCGGTTGGGAGCTCTGTGGCATTAGCTGACACAAAGAGACTCAATCTGGCATGCGAAATACAACTGGTCCTACCTTCAACATCAAACTTAACATCCCTCCTCGCATCCATCTTTAAAATACCGACCTTCTGGGCGACGAACTCCTCGTGTGTGAGGTCCGCATACTCGTTGACACCCAGCGTGTAAGACAGATCTGCATAGCTAGCCACTCGGCTCATGGCGAATATGATGTTACTCACTCTGAGCGTTGACTTGCTCGATGTGATGGAGATTGGCTTGGAAGATGGCATTCCTTTTCATTTCTTCCTCCTTAGACTCGTATTTTTTACCGAACCTGCACGCAAGACATCAGAATGAAACACCACTTGACGACCACTTCACTTATGCTGGAAATCGGTAAAAGCCAAGTCCGCAGTTCCCTCGTTCAAGCACTCGAACGCAGGTAGGATTGAAAGGAGAACGAATGAGACGATAGTGCGCATTTGAGAAGCAAAGCCCACTGATAATGTCGGGGTTGTTTGTACACTTTCTAAGGGGAAGACCGGTACTGCTACCCGCTAGGGTGGCGGCGATTCCCAATTTCCTTGCGATCCCAAGAAATTGGGTATGGGAACGGTGTTCCTTCTTAGAAGGAAGTCGTAGTAGACTTGGCACTCAGGAAGTTCCAAAGCGATGAAAGCCTTAAAACTTCACGTGAACACTACGCTACGTTCACGCACAAAATCGACGAGCGGAGCGAAGTGATTCTTCTTCCATGTTATGGAACATGAACATTCGGAGGCCAGCCATCACACACACTACGTGAGCCTATCTCTACGGATTTATAATTGACATTTCACTATGCGTTATAACGCGAATCCAGGAAGTCCTGCATCTCAAGTCCTAGCACCTGGTAACAAGGCCCAGCTAAGAACAAGAAGTCCCCTTGAAGAGGGGTGACCTCGTTAACGTCAGGTAGTCCGCTCGCTTGAGGGTTGGTGGACGTTGACTGAACCCAACAAGGCAGAACTTGAGCCAAGATGGCTACTGTACCAATCTCTACAATATGGATCGTGGTACAATGAATCTGACACTACAGCTGTGTACACGTGCAAGTTGGCACGCAGACGCAAACGCACAAACAACAAAGGTAGCAGGAGGTAGCAGGCCTTGGCAGAACCCTATAAACTTAAAGGACTAAAAAGTTGCCCTCAACGTTCCTCTAACACCTGCATGAAGTGTAATAGTCCTATACAAGGGAACCCAAAGCCGAATTTGATAATCAAACTCGTCCGCCTGCACAATGCGACGTGTCTACACATTTGCGCCAAAATAGCGTTATGGCTGCACCGATGTGTGGTCAGCGTAAAATGACCACCCTCCTGTATAGGGAGCCCCCCCCATAAACAACACGATAGTAGCTTCGCTCTCGGCAAAGGAAGAGGCATCTCATACTACTGCTTGGCCTGAGGCCAATGGCCTCTTGCATCCCTCCCACAGAGAATCTCACATCACTCCACTCCGTGGAGTACACTGCTGAATTGGATTCAAACTGGGACCAAAACTATGATATCATTACTCACGAGGACCAAGCTGTCATATTCCAGAAGCTTCACTATGAAGTGGTTGATATTCGGATGAGACTACCATCCGAAACATGGGAGATACCCAAGTGCCTTCCGAGGGAGGAATGCAACCTTAACGCATTTGTTCATCCATATTATGGTTAGCATCGCAAAATTATCAAGCCTCGGAAAATCATCATCCAGAAACAGGCGTACGTTTGAGATGAAGAGAATTTTAGGGCGTAACGAAAGGAACCATCGATACACATGAATGCTCAAAGTGAGTTGCAACTGAACTTGGGCACTTGAGTGTCGACTTCGTTGGAACGTGTCAAATTTGACAGAGACGTGTCCTAGCGATACCCCACGCTCCTTTCGGCAAGAAATTGTCGATACTAAAGTCCACGATAGGCCAATGGATAGCACCTGGACAGGCATGTCCATAGATCACCCTTCCGCGTGTAATGGACATGTCAAAGTGTCAAAAACGTCCTCGACGACTTTGAACATTCACTTGACATGTCGAAACATAACGCAATTGGCCGCAGTCACTGCAACACACTGTTAAGGATCGGTCTAATTGTGAGCGTTACCCTCGGACTGTTGATGAACACAGGTTCCCAAGACAAGGACGAAACCTGCTCTTTTCTTAAAGGAGCACAGTGCGAGACACGTTCTTAGCTATGCACAACGCTATGCATGAAAGGCGCATAATCGCGCCGTCTACTACAGGTATCTCTCTGTGGTACTTCAACCTCGTCCCCCTGTTCATCACAGGTAGAGCGGAGGTATTATCGACTAGAAAACGAATCATGATTTACCAATATAAGGACAAAAAAGGACTAACATCTACGTAGATGACATAATGATTTACTCTTTAGGATATCCATCACTGTCGAAACTAGTCTCTCGCGGGCTACCACCCGGAATAAACCGTACGGGAACATGGCGATGACGCAACGTTCTGGTCAAACCATGAACTTCTGGTGCACCTTCTAGTTGGAGCTCCGCCTGCCGATTCGGATCTGGTTGGACTCCGTCAGATACCGGGTCGTTGCGCACCGACGCGGAGCTGACAGAGTTAGACGATATAGTAAGGTCACCAGAATGGGCAGAACCATTGTCTTCATCAATGATCTCGGGACACTCCTCGGTGTGGGCGGAGATGATCCGATCATTGGCAACATTCAAGAGTTGGACCGATGGGTCGGCAACTCTTTCCAAAGTAGAAGAATGAGTAGACGAAGTGACAACGCGGTACTTGGAAGGCATAAAGCGCTCACCGGTACGTCGTTCATGTGGAGGTTTCAATACCCATACTTGCTGACCGACGTTGAAGGAGACTTCTCCTTCTGGAGGAGGAACTGCCACGGGTTGTTCGGCTCCGGTACGTAGTTGTCGCCCTAGGAACCTCTCCGTTGGGGCTTCTCCCGTAGCGCTATGTGGAGTACTGTTGTAGGCTTCTAGGCACTGTTGTAGCTTGTCCACCAGAGGCAGCGTCGAAGGTAGATACATAAGTTTAGTTTTAAGGGTACGATTCAACCTCTCCACGCATGCGTTGGCAGTTGGTCTATAGCCGCTAGTTGCGACCAATGTAACCCCTCGTCGTCGAAGTCGAGAACGGAGTGAAAAAAAACCCGTTCCACGATCACACCGAAGATACAAGGGCCACCCCAGCAAAGATGTTGTGAAGATTGAGCATGAGGCTGTCCAGATATTCTCGCCTGACTCGCTTCTTATTGGTCGAGCCGTTGCATATCGGCTGTACTCATCAACAGTGACCAATATAGGTTGACCAAGATAATAGGTAACATCTGCAGCCACCATTTCCCACGGGAACGTAGCCAATCTTCTGGGTGCAGCCGTGTTTAGTGGAGTCTTCTTGGCTCGTTCGCGGCGACAGCGCTCATCCTGACACCCTTGGAGAGCGGAGTGAGCGGAGGAAGCCAAGTTTGGTATATAAAATACCCGCTTCAGAACTTTTGTGACAGCTTTCTCGCCTGCATGTACCAACGACGTGTGGAGTTTCAGAATCACGTCTTTGTGCAGGCACTCTGGTAGGATTGGCAGACCATCTTTCTTCTCTAGTTCCGCCAACGGACCGACTCCTTGGGCTCGCCTCAGCTCGGAGTTTGATGGCCACCAAGCCTGTCCCTCGCCCCCCAGCCGTGGAACGAAGGCGACAAGCTTGTGGGCGTCGTTCTCCGCACAGTAGGGGTTGATGTTGAAATCCACCCGGGTAACTGTGTCGGCTAAGTTGTCACACGAACGGACTTGGCAATGTCCGAGCAATCAACGTAGCAATAAACATCTTCTTCCCTCGATGGTAATTGCCAAGGTCCTCGCGCTGGATCGCCGCGATCTCGAAGTTGGTTGGCCAACTGGATACAATATGCTGAGACATTAGGGGCCGGAGCCTCATTCTAGCGCGAGTAGTCGGAACCAATAGAGCGACCCAGAAGTCGCTTACCGATAGCTACTGATGGTCGTAGTCATCGCAGTACCGGTTGATGAGACGCCAACGTACCTAGCCATGAAGAGATATCTCGGGCCGTGATATCAAGTGGTTCTTGGGATAAACGTTGCTCGAAGGCTAACAGATCAGACAGGGGAACTCGCCGTTTCCAATACAAACGGCCATCCAGGTTGAAGTATTACAGAGAGATACCTGTAGTAGATGGCGCGATTATGCGCCTTTCATGCATAGCGTTGTGCATAGCTAAGAACGTGTCTCGCACTGTGCTCCTTTAAGATAAGAGCAGGTTTCGTCCTTGTCTTGGGAACCTGTGTTCATCAGCAGTCCGAGGGTAACGCTCACAATTAGACCGATCCTTAACACACACCTTCCCATCTCAGAGAGGTTCCTCACTTGTGAGAGCCTTCCTAAGTTCTTGGTGCTTCCTCACCGACATATGTCGGTGACCATGTGCACAAATTTCAACACTGCCCAAAGCATTACCGTCGAGGCCGGAGAGTAGCCCGATGTGTACCAGGGAACAGCTGAGGGAGATCGACCCAAGGAGAAATTGGAGCTGACGATGTCCGTGCTTAGACATACGAGGGATTGAATAGTTACTGAACCTATCGGTACCTACGCAGTATTGTGACAATCACAAATTGCCTGGGGGTGATGACTCCCATCATTTCGATGGGCCAGCTCCTTCCGCTTCCTGTGTTTGTCAGTATACCATCACGAGGCACTAAATCGTCGGCAGGGAGAGGTATGTCTTACATTGTGTATCTTCCAAAAGTATGCACCGTAATGATGAGGTGTTATCAACAGAAACCCTCCAATACTACCAGAGTGTCATCCTCGCGTATTTTGATAACTCGATGTACGACATCCAAGCCACCAATAGGGGCGCCAAAAGATACAACAGCGTTGTCGCCAAGTGGCGGGGGGGGGCTTAAGTGTGGTTCCTGGTCCATGCCAGTATATAGGGTGCTGTACTAGCAGGTGGCCTCGCCGTTTATGCAAATAATTCCGGTACTGGAATTTTTCACGCATTTTGATATAATCGTTATCGTCTTGAGTAGGCAACAAGTCACAAGTCAGTGCTTTTTCAGTGTGGTCCACACCATGCCTTCTACAAAGGAGACTCGCCAAGTGCTGCCTGAAGCTTCCGAGGCTCCCAAACCCGTTCGTGAGGAGGATGCGGCCCTGCAAGAGTTGGAAGACTCTGAGGATACTCCCGGTTTCGAAATTGGAGACGATATTGTTGAAAATGCAAGTACACATGCCAGTGGTGATGAGGAGTAATATCAAGGCTGTGGGGAGGACTCAAAAGCTGACGAATCTCCCCGAATCGAATTACTCTAACTGGTAGAGAGATTGCTTATTTGTTCTTGTCATTTTCAGAGGGGAGGAATCTTCCGAGACTGAGGACGATTACGATTCGGACGACTCTGATGATGAGTAAGGGGCCAAAAGTGGAGGATATTGAAGAGCTGCATCATCTCAGGTATACTCGGAACCGTATAGGCAAAGTACCGCTGAAGTGGTATCTCGACAACCATGATCATATTGGTTATGATATCTCTGGAAAAAAGATTGCACGCACTGTGAAGACTTCCGAGATAGATACTCTCTTGAGAGCGGTAGTAAGGGCCCAGGCATTGTATGGAGGAGGTCAGATTCATCGTGCTAACATAGCTGTCGCTTGTTAGGCTGAGGATCCCGATGCTTGGCGCACCGTCACTGATATCAAGAACGATAGGGAGATCAAGCTAAGTGACACCGACCTCAGGATCATACAGTGAGATCAGCCGTAGTCAACTGGCCGCCTGTCATTCAATGCCGACCTCAGGCGTATCCGGAAGGGCTTTTTCCCTACTGGTCGTGGTGATGGCGATGAGGATGAGGAATTCCAGGTAGGGTGGTGAGGTGTCTAGGAGTAGTAACCAAGGCTAATCATGGTAGGTTGAGTATGAGGACCGTATAGAAGACAAAATTCACCCAATGAGGACTCGATACCCCACGAAGAAGTCGTTCATGCCGGACCAAGACGAGGCCCGTAAGGTCAAGAGATTGATCAAGCTCATAAGGGCGGGAATTATCAAGTCTAAGGAGGAGAAGCCTGCGAAGGAGGATGTATTTCATACCGCTCCTCGACGAAATCACTACTTAATAAAAAGGCTGTGTATTAGCATAACCATCTCCAGAGTAACCGCCAGTGATGAAAATACCAAGGACTGCGATAAAGGATGATGCGATCATTATAATAAAGCCAACTACCTGAAAGTAAAAGTCGACTGGATGCTGGTAATAACTCTACCAGCCATGATCGGGCACATATGTCTACTACACCATATGGCACCGGAAGCCATGGAAAAGCCACTGTTGGTATATATGTTCGCTCTCCTCAGCTGAGCTCAAGAGTTTCCTCGCTTATTACACAAGCATATATCGTATCCAACTGCGTATATAAACTGTATACTAATTCAGATAGAAGTTTTCAGAATCCGACAAGAAATTTCCAAAACATCCTCAAACCCTTCATGTTGTGACTGACACATGTAGTTGACCATGTGCATAATTTTCCATCCTAGTTAGAAGTTGTCCCTTACCAAACACAACATGGTGAAATCATTGAGTTATAGGGTCTCGAACGTTTTGTCAAAACTTTGTGGAAAGTAATAAGAAGCCGCAATGCTTTGTAAGATGAGAAATCCCTAAATTTCGTTGTTAGCAAAGAGCGGCTAAGGGGAACAAATAGTTGTCGCATGATGAAAGTGAGTGATTGGAATATAATCATTGGATATAATAGATGGTCAAGACGTTTTTCTACGGATCGTGATCATACTAGAATTACTGATCTTTACTGGGACTTATACCGGAGGTTCCGGTCCGGAGCTTATCATGAAACTTCATAATCGGAACATACATGTACTCGAGTATGCTGCATTGACCTGAAAAGGACGACTGTGGATGTCATAATGAATGTCTAAGCTCACCGTAACCGGAAACTCCTCGCTTCAAGTAAAAGTACCCAGCCATACCCCAGGAAGTTCCCCAAGAATTTCTGCCGATGAAATAACTGACAAAAAAAGTTGCGGTAAGCATCCATACGGTGCCCTATTCTTACTCTCCTCCAACTACGCTGCCATAACCAACCATCACAACAGCGTGATCAATCTGATAATTACAGTCACCTGAAACCGGTGATAATCCTTACACATCAGCATTGAGCGCAAAACTTACCAGAGTATATTCCACCGCTATAAAATTGGAAATCGTGATCCGAAGCATACATGGCGACGGAGACTGGACTCCTCTGTATCTTCAGCATCAAAGCCTGCTCAGTTTGTTGTAGCTGGGACCAGCCAGTAACAATCCCGGCCTATTAGGAATGATGATGATGATGATGATGATGATGATGATGATGATAGTAGCAGTGTTCGATACAAATATTACCTTAATGCCGTCGGATCGTTTCTCAAGGCACTTTTGGCAAGTATTGTCACTTCCTTCATAAAGGTAGGTAAACTCGAGATCGATCCCTTTATCCCTCACATAATCAAAAGCTTGATACATCCAGCCTCCAGCACATCCACTGAAATGTGAGCTGTGTGAAAATTTCCTAGGGTTAAATATAGACATACTCAACTACATGTGTTGTTGAGAATATCGAAATTTTGAGGAAATCTTCGAAACCATTGCTCACCCAAATTCGTATATACATTCTTTTATTCAGTGAAGAATTCTTAGGCTCAGCTGAGGAGAGCAAACATATAGTCCTCCAAAACTGGACGAGAAACACATGAATATGCTGCTGATTGGCTTTGGTCTAGTGGTAGAATACAACGGTGCCATAGTTTTGACCCGAGTTCGATCCTCGGATAATGTACCATGATTGGCCTCGGTCTTAGGAGCCATGAAAAAACTATATTCTTGTCTTTATCATGGCTCCTAGTACCAAGGCCAATCGATGCCACTTACCCGGTCCCATAGCCTCTACTGCAATCGACAAGCTGCTGCTCAGAGAACGACCGGAGCTGACCCGTGCCGATGGCATACAGCGACTCGAGAGTACCTGCAAAGGTTCACACAAGTACGTCCAAGAGACGTTACCGGTCGATGAGAAAGCCCAGCAGCTTCCACAGGCTCCTTGATTCTTAATCGGGGTTAATACATCGCCAGTTGCATCTCTCCAATCCACGCCGGCTGAGAGCTCTGTGGCATTATCTGACACAAAGAGACTCAATCTGGCATGCGAAATACAACTGGTCCTACCTTCGACATCAAACTTAACATCCCTCCTCGCATCCATCTTTAAAATACCGACCTTCTGGGCGACGAACTCCTCGTGTGTGAGGTCCGCATACTCGTTGACACCCAGCGTGTAAGACAGATCTGCATAGCTAGCCACTCGGCTCATGGCGAATATGATGTTACTCACTCTGAGCGTTGACTTGCTCGATGTGATGGAGATTGGCCTGGAAGATGGCATTCCTTTTCATTTCTTCCTCCTTAGACTCGTATTTTTTACCGAATCTGCACGCAAAAACATCATAATGCAACACCACTTGACGACCACCTTACTTATGCTGGAAATCGGTAAATGCCAAGTCCACAGTTCCCTCGTTCAAGCACTCGAACGCAGGTAGGATTGAGAGGAGAACGAATGAGACGATAGTGCGCATTTGAGAAGCAAAGCCCACTGATAAGTTGGGGTTGTTTGTAGACTTTCTAAGGGGAAGACCGGTACTGCTACCCGCTAGGGTGGCGGCGATTCCCAATTTTCTTGCGATCCCAAGAAATTGGGTATGGAAACGGTGTTCATTCTTAGAGGGAAGTCGTAGTAGACTTGGCAGTGCCAAGTTGGCACTCAGGAAGTTCCAAAGCGATGAAAGCCTTAAAACTTCACGTGAACACTACGCTACGTTCACGCACAAACTCGATGAGCGGAGCGAAGTGAGTCTTCTTCCATGTTATGGAACATGAGCACTCGGAGGCCAGCCATCACCCCAGCCACAACGTGAGGTTATCTCTACGGATTCAGAATTGACATTTCACTATGCGGTATTACGCGAATCCAAAAAGTCTTGCATCTCAAGTCCTAGCACCTGGTAAAAAGGCCCAGCTAAGAACAAGAAGTCCCCTTGAAGAGGGGTGACCTGTATCAAGTGTGATAGTCCTATACAAGGAAACACAAATCCGAATTTGATAATCAAACTCGTCCGCCTGCACAATGCGACATGTCTACACATTTGCGCCAAAATAGCGTTATGGCTGCACCGATGTGTGGTAAGCGTAAAATGACCACCCGCCTGTATAGGGAGCCCCCCCCCATAAACAACACGATAGTAGCTTCGCTCTCGGCAAAGGAAGAGGCATCTCATACTACTGCTTGGCCTGAGGCCAATGGCCTCTTGCATCCCTCCCACAGAGAATCTCACATCACTCCACTCCGTGGAGTACACTGCTGAATTGGATTCAAACTGGGACCAAAACTATAGTATCATTACTCACGAGGACCAAGCTGTCATATTCCAGAAGCTTCACTATGAAGTGGTTGATATTCGGATGAGACTACCATCCGAAACATGAGAGACACCCAAGTGCCTTCCCAGGGAGGAATGCAACCCTACCGCGATGTTATTTGTTCACACATATTATGGTTAGCATCGCGACATTATCAAGCCTCGAAAAATTATCATCCAGAAACAGGCGTACGTTTGAGATGAAGAGAATTTTAGGGCGTAACGAAACGAACCATCGATACACATAAATGCTCAAAGTGAGTTGCAACTGAACTTGGGCACTTGAGTGTCGACTTCGTTGGAACGTGTCAAGTTTGACAGAGACGTGTCCTAGCGATACCCCACCCTCATTTCGGCAATAAATTGTCGATACTAAAGTCCACGATAGGCCAATGCATAGCACCTGGCCAGGCATGTCTATAGATCATCCTTCCGCGTGTAATGGACATGTCAAAGTGTCAAAAATCTCCTCGACGACTTTGAACATTTACTACTTGACATGTCGAAACATGACGCAATTGGCCGCAGTCACTGCAACACACCTTCCCATCCCAGAGAGGTTCCTCACTTGTGAGAGCCTTCCCTAAGTTCTTGGTGCTTCCTCACCGACATATGTCGGTGACCATGTGCACAAATTTCAACACTGCCCAAAGCATTACCGTCGAGGCCGGAGAGTAGCCCGATGTGTACCAGGGAACAGCTGAGGGAGATCGACCCAAGGAGAAATTGGAGCTGACGATGTCCGTGCTTAGACATACGAGGGATTGAATAGTTACTGAACCTATCGGTACCTACGCAGTATTGTGACAATCACAAATTGCCTGGGGGTGATGACTCCCATCATTTCGATGGGCCAGCTCCTTCCGCTTCCTGTGTTTGTCAGTATACCATCACGAGGCACTAAATCGTCGGCAGGGAGAGGTATGTCTTACATTGTGTATCTTCCAAAAGTATGCACCGTAATGATGAGGTGTTATCAACAGAAACCCTCCAATACTACCAGAGTGTCATCCTCGCGTATTTTGATAACTCGATGTACGACATCCAAGCCACCAATAGGGGCGCCAAAAGATACAACAGCGTTGTCGCCAAGTGGCGGGGGGGGGCTTAAGTGTGGTTCCTGGTCCATGCCAGTATATAGGGTGCTGTACTAGCAGGTGGCCTCGCCGTTTATGCAAATAATTCCGGTACTGGAATTTTTCACGCATTTTGATATAATCGTTATCGTCTTGAGTAGGCAACAAGTCACAAGTCAGTGCTTTTTCAGTGTGGTCCACACCATGCCTTCTGCAAAGAAGACTCGCCAAGTGCTGCCTGAAGCTTTCGAGGCTCCCAAACCCGTTCGTGAGGAGGATGCGGCCCTGCAAGAGTTGGAAGACTCTGAGGATACTCCCGGTTTCGAAATTGGAGACGATATTGTTGAAAATGCAAGTACACATGCCAGTGGTGATGAGGAGTAATATCAAGGCTATGGGGAGGACTCAAAAGCTGGCGAATCTCGCCGAATCGAATTACTCTAAGTGGTAGAGGAATTGCTTATTTGTTCTTGTCATTTTCAGAGGGGAGGAGTCTTCCGAGACCGAGGACGATTACGATTCGGACGACTCTGATGATGAGTAAGGGGCCAAAAGTGGAGGATATTGAAGAGCTGCATCATCTCAGGTATACTCGGAACCGTATAGGCAAAGTACCGCTGAAGTGGTATCTCGACAATCATGATCATATTGGTTATGATATCTCTGGGAAAAAGATTGCACGCACTGTGAAGACTTCCGAGATAGATACTCTCTTGAGAGCGGTAGTAAGGGCCCAGGCATTGTATGGAGGAGGTCAGATTCATCGTGCTAATATAGCTGTCGCTTGTTAGGCCGAGGATCCCGATGCTTGGCGCACCGTCACTGATATCAAGAACGACAGGGAGATCAAGCTAAGTGACACCGACCTCAGGATCATACAGTGAGATCAGCCGTAGTCAACTGGCCGCCTGTCATTCAATGCCGACCTCAGGCGTATCCGAAAGGGCTTTTTCCCTACTGGTCGTGGTGATGGCGATGAGGATGAGGAATTCCAGGTAGGGTGGTGAGGTGTCTAGGCATAGTAACCAAGGCTAATCATGGTAGGTTGAGTATGAGGACCGTATAGAAGACAAAATTCACCCAATGAGAACTCGATACCTTACGAAGAAGTCGTTCATGCCGGACCAAGACGAGGCTCGTAAGGTCAAGAGATTGATCAAGCTCATAAGGGCCGGCATTATCAAGCCTAAGGAGGAGAAGCCTGCGAAGGAGGAGGTATCTTATACCACTCCTCGACGAAACCCAATTGCATGTCGCGTTTCAGGAAGAAGTGTTTGATGCTTGGGGCGATGAGGACGAGGAAGGGGAGGGCAGGAAGCTGAAGGGTGAGATTGATTCTGGCATCCTTCTTTTGACGCAGCCTGCCTTAGGCCCAGCGCCAATACCAGCTCCGAAGCAGGCCCTGCCTACTCACAGTGAGAGCTACAACCCTCCGGATGAGTATCTATTCGATGATGTAAGCTCACGGTGTTGTTGCTTCGTCTTCTTCTCACATGGTGGTCCTAGGCTGAGAAAGCTGAATGGGAGGCCGGTGATGACAGTATTAGGAAGCAGAATTATATGCCGCAGAAATTCGCCTGTTTGCGACACGTTCCCTTCTACAGAGATTTCCTCAAGGAACGTTTCGAGCGATGCCTCGATCTTTATCTTTGTCCTCGAGTGGTGAAGAAGAAGATGAATGTTGGTAATTCGTCTGATATGCCCACTCGGACTCGCGGCTGATCGTCTCTGGCCAGATCCGTTGTCGTTGTTGCCACAATTGCCGTCACCTTCGGACCTCCGACCCTTCCCTACTACTGTGGGTGTCGACTTCAAGGGCCACCATGAGAAGGTCACTGACAGCAGCTTCAATGCTACGTGAGGCCTTTGCTTATACCACGCCATTGAGAAATCACGTCTTGGTCTGTTCAGTGGGGAGCTGTTGGCAACCTGTGCTGCTGATGGGTTGAGGATATGGGATACACTCAGTGGATGCTGCCTTCTGCAAAGGAGTCCGACTAAGGCAATCGTTAAACAGAAAAACGATGAGGGAGAGTGTAGTAGAAGGAACCGCTCTGGTGTTGGCGAGTGACTGCCTTTTTCAGTGGTTGAAGTTGAGGTAGACGTGTCACCACTGTGTGTCTCGTGGCACCCTAAATATGCTGATATTCTGGCCGTGGGCACCAATAACGGAACGGTGGAACTACTCAGGTAAGCTCGAAGCATTGCAGGTATTGTTTTGCGCAATTACGGTTGGGCAATCAGGCCGCAGTGTGTGAAGGCATCGCCGGCGGCAGAGGAGGATGAGGAGAGTGAGGATGAGGACGAGGAGGAGTCGGCCGGTCCGAGGCGACCGACGGCCAATGCTGACCTTTTGGAGCCAGTTGAGGATGGGTGATCTCGAAGCCCTTCACATGAGGTTGAGGATTTATCAAGGTTTCAGGGATTGGACTGCCGTTAGCGATGCTCCAGGGTTTGAGGGTCTTCTCATTAAGGCTGATGAACGCGCTGATATCACTAAACTAACGTGGCACCCTAAAGGTAACCTGGTCCCTGGAGAGCTCTGAGTGATGTCGTTGGTAGGATGGTATCTATCCCATGTGGCGCCCAATGCGGTACAAGTGAGGTCTCAGTGTGTTATACACAACCTGAGGTCTCAGAAGACTATCAGACCGTTCAGCAAGTCGAAGGGTGGCAAGATACAGGCCTCGGCCTTCCATCCTCGGAAACCGCAGTTCTATATCTGCACTCAGAAGAATGTAGGTCCTAGGATTGGTCATGTTCTTGGGAGTTTGTGCATGCGTGCACGAGGATGGTATATACGTGCAGGGACTTGTGCTTTTCAGAATAGATATCACAGTGTGATGGTTGCATTATGATGTGTATCAGGTCCGGCTGTATGATCTGAAGGCTCAGTCCTTGGTGCGTACCTACGTCTCGGGCGCTCAGCATATCATGGCGATTTCGGTCTTCCCTGGGACCGGTGAGCATTTGACCATAGTCAGTCAGGATAGAAGATTGTGTTGGTTCGATAATGAGCTTGGCAATAAGCCTTGGAAGACTTGGAGGTATACTCTCCTCTTGCTTCCCCATGAGCTGCTGATGACCATATTTTTGACAGATATCATAAGCGAGTGGTTCGTGATGTTGAATTCCATCCCTTGGCCGCGGGAAGGCTTCCTCTTATGGCAACCTGCTCTGATGATGGCAGTGCTCATATATTCCACGCGAAAGTGTAGGTTACCATGCAATGTTCTGTCGTTCTCCTAAACTGGTATAAGGAATTGTGTGGGCTGCTGTCCCCATAAGGGGACACTCCGTGTCACTGTTGCTGTGTGTAAGGTACAACGATGCTATGTCGAATCCACTGGTGGTCCCAGTGAAGAAGCTACGCCCTAAGGATGGTGGTCGAATTCTCTCTTGCTCGTGGCACCCTCATCAGCCTTGGATCCTCCTTACAATGGGAGACGGTCGTGTCCAGATGTGGGTATAAGTTGAAGTTATTCGGGATGCTCCTCAACAACTGTCCCAACGTTTCTCTACCAGCATTATACGTCATTATCAGCTTGACTAGGTAGAGACTTGTGTTCATTACTGGAACCCGCGCAATTGACTTTGCAATTAATCTCATTGAGGTAGACGTCGTGATTGTGTGCTAGCAGCCATAAGTTCTTAGCTAAAAACTCATCGTGGACTTGTTGTGTGTGGAGACAAAATTAGGTTTTTTTGTTGTTGAAGTTACTGCCTTATCTTCCCATTTCTGTATATGAAGTTCTTCAAGTCATTTGCCGTAAGTGCTGCTTATTTGATCGCCCTCTCTGGGGCTGTTGATTCCAACGGTACTGTCGTAACGACTCCTGCTGGCAACGACAACGCCGCGACCTCGAGCCCTGCTATGACTACTGCTCCATCGCAACAGGGTTCCCCTAATGGTCCTACGTCTAGTGTCACTACTGGTGCCAGTAGCAATGGTACCCAAACTGGTACCACGCCTTTGCCTGCTGGTGACGTTGCTGCATGCCCTACTGGTTGGTGTCTCGATTACCAGTTCAATCCTGGTAACAATACGTGTATCACGCCCGATCCAGTGAAGCTGATGGACTGTTGGGAAGACTACTGTGCTGAAGAGGAGCCTGGTGGATACTGTTTGGTGTGGGAGCCCGATAGTGGTCGTGTTTGCCATGGTGGTCTGAAGAAGTGCTATTGCCCGGATTACCAGACGAAGACGATGAAGTACTACCCTCCTAGTCAAATGCCTGATGGATGGTCAGCCGCTCAGCAGTGTGTATATGAGGGAGCTACTGGCACTACCAAGGCCCCTGCCCCTCCCCCGGTCGTTCCTGCCTCAAATGGCGTTAGAACCGCAATTTCGATTGCAGGGGGTGCTGCTCTCGGAACCCTTGTTATCGGCAACGTTTTCTGAAATACTGTTGGTTGACTTTCTTCGTATACTTCTATTATGCGGTAGTAGTATATGTGTGTTATTCTAGTTACTAAACCTTGTTCAGCGACTGGAATCCCTAGTGTTTAATGACACTAATTCGCTTTGCCTGTCTGCGAATGTGTAAAGTTATGAGCATTATGATCGACATCATCATCATCGCCCTTTCGACGAGCTCACAAGCAACTCGTTGTGAGGGTATGCCTGATAGGGTATCAAATACCGCTGAAGGTGTTTAGTTCGCCCAAGTGCAACTTCGGTTGGGTAGTGTTGACGTTGATGATATTTGTTCTTGTGGGCAGGCTGTGAATTTCCGTGTTTTTGCGTGATACTAGAATTATTTGTGTTTTCTGCGTCGTGGCTGATAACTGATCTATTATATCTGCATATGTATTGTTTCTGAGTTGAGTCGATAAGTTTCGTTCGGTTGGGTGTTGGTATTTCGAGGATAATTCATACAAACGGCAGTTACTGAGGCTGCTTTTGAGTGTGAAACTTTATAGAGATTGCATGATGAAGGGATGTGAACCTTCCAAATCGAACGGTTGCCACACCAAAATTGTGCATAGGGGTGTGGCAATGTAGTCGCCAAGTTGACGTGAAGTCATTAATGATCATAAAAAGAAAGATTAAACTTCCTGGTGGCGTTATGGGGACGCACTTGATTGTAAGTTACACTTTGTAACCACAATGGCTACTCTGGTGACTATCCCGATAACAGTATGGGTATTGGCTGTCTCCTACTATTCCTGTGACAAACAATGGGTAGCGACTTAATCAGTGGGGCTGCTCCACGCCGCCAGTTTCGCTCCTAATAGGACCAATTTCGCTGTTCGCTAGGGCAGATACATGTTGCAGATACATGTTGCGATGTTTGTTCTCGTTTGGTCGAAGCCTATTCTGTTCACTCGGGTAAATTAGACTCCATGCAAGTTGATTCGAGTAGAGTTGACTCCATGCAACCTGATTCGAGTAGAGTTGACTCCATGCAAGCTGATTCGAGTAGAGTTGACTCCATGCAAGCTGAATTGTTGCGTTAACGAGTGATGCCATTGTCGGTGTTAATAGTGGAAATTTCCCTATTCACCTATTCAGGATGCCAAGTGAAGGACTCAGTCCAGCAGTCAGTGCCATATGATATGTGATTCATAGTCGGAATCGTAAGTGTATCATACCACGATCGTAAGAAGGTATTACTATCCTCTAAGTCGACATGAGTATAACGGTGGTATTGAGACGTCTAGTACTTGCCTGTGTTGCATTATTCTGGAGTCAAGATCACTGCTAGTCTGAACTAGGGAACCCTTATGATGCACACGGAGACTACCTACGAAGACTGGAGGGTTGTAAGAAACTTTGTCCTTGTATCTCTCATCACCCGTCTTTCCCTAGGCATCCAGTTCGGGTATACCTTCTTGATCGAGAGAACGTTTTAGAGGATATGGACCCTGTCGTCAAGCCGCTACTCCTCGAGATTCGGTTCGAGTATTTCACTAAAGGAGCTATTATCAAAAGAGCACTGGTCATCGGGTTCGGCCATAAATCAATATGTTCCCGTTATATATGTTCCCTACCACCTATTTCCACAGTGGAACTTCCACTACATCGCCCAAGTCGGGAATCCCGACTCGGGATGTCGCGCCGAGTCGCGCTTATTGAAATCGATCACGTGATCGATTTACATCTCCTCGGCGTGAGGTAGTAGACAAATCAGCCGTCCATCCAGCATGGTAATAAGGGATACTCTCAATCACCTAACCGCTGCTGCTCTACCTTATTGTCGTTGGTGTCGTTCGACCGCCTCGGTGTGTGCATTTCAACCATTATTCATGTTTAGGGTTCCATCAAGTCCTTCAAGACTAAGAGAACTTTGGGCAAGAAGATCAAGCAGAATCGCCCTCTGCCTCAGTGGTTCCGAATGAGGACCAACAACACCATCAGGTATCAACTCCCACCTTCTTCCTCCTCTCCTTCTCACTGTCATCATCATCACAGGTACAACGCCAAGCGTCGTCACTGGAGGCGCACTAAGATCGGTATCTAAGTGTTGGTCTTCGGTGGTAGTAGTAATACCTCACTCTACCGAGTATTACTTCCAAGCAGTGCAGCTCACAACTGTTGGAGCCTTCCTGCTGATTGCCACTGGACGCCGACTTCTCTACGTGTTGTGTTGATTCAATATGGGCGAAAGCGCGTACTTACGCAGGTGGTCGACTTGTCCTATAGTCGCACCATCTAAGTAGTACGCCATAGCTATTGAGCCTTTACTCACCGACTACCCCTACCAGTGGGGTCGCCGGCCTTTCAAGCTCGTATAGCTACCAATGCTGCTGCCTATGATGACTAACTGTGAAGGTCTCGTTCGTCTGACTTTAGATGTGGAGATATAATCACAACCACCCATAGTCTGAGGCATCGAAAGCAAGGAGTTGATGATGATGAACCAAAATGTATGGAATCTCGTTAACCTGAGTTCTAGTGAAGACCATATAAAGTAAGGCTGATATGCAACGGAATAGGGATGATGACAACATACTTCACTGGAGGCGCTATAGAAGTAGCCGCTGAACAGTATTACCAAGATCTGCACTGATCCTAATGTAAGTTGATAATTATCACGATACTGGAGACGACTCGAGTGGCCGGTGAACAGCTCGACGAGCAAGATATGCAATGGTCATGTGTGATGACGATCCTCCTCCACGACTATGTCCTGTCTTCTTGCATCAGATCTTTCATTACCTCTGTTGTGTAGATATAAATTTGATTTGTTTACTAGAGATGGGAAGTGGGCAAAGTGTGGTATGGTTTGGTGTGGGAAATGGGCGTCAGGTTGACTACTTTCTGCACGTCCATGCCACCGCGATATAATAATGATTCCAATCGTCCTACAGGGGAGTCCAGAGCGACACTAGCGGCTGAGGTGCGGGCCCTACGGGAAGAGTTACGGCAAGTGAAACGGGGAGCTCCGCCGGCGCCTCCTCCGTTACGGCCACTACGAGAGTCAATTGAGCACCCTCTGTCGAGCACGCCATGGTGGAGACGATCGAGAGAGAGGCACGATTGCTCTTGGCCGCTGAGGGATGACTCCGTCTCTCCAGAAAGGGTCTCAGATGCTCCCATCAGGACCAGTGAGGACGTACCGGCCACACCTGTACTCATCGCCACGCCCAAGTCCCTTGGGGGTACAATACCTAGCGAGAGAGCAGCGCCTGCATCCAGTCCAGTAGCGAGGCTTAATAGTAGACTGCCATCAACTACGTTGCCTCGGCTCATGCCTACTGAATGGGGAGAGATGAGAGGCGTAGCACGGCGGTCAGTGTATGTAGCAGCTGATGTTAGCCGATACCAGTCCCCGGATCGATCCCGGGGGGCGGCAGTATTAGAATGGAGGCTCAAAGAGCTTGATGAAGGTACTAATGTTATTGTTTATGTCAGCTGTAGTGCTTACCTTCCATTTTAGAGGTCCGAGCCCTCCGTCTCGAGAACGCATCTTTGCGGGCTGAGCTGGAGGTACTACGTCGTTGCACTTCACCAGCTCGTGGCCATCAGGAGGGAGATAATAATCCTCGGCCGCCATCTCGAGGAAGGAGTGCCTCTCGGACTCGGCGACACCAGTGTGTCTCTCCTCGGCTAAGGTGGTAGTATCCTCTCTGGGGTATTTGGTTCTTAAGGGCGATGCTAGTAGGTCTCGAACGCCCCCACCACCACCAGAAGGCCACACGCAAACATCTTGGCTACGCTTTCAATGTGCCCAGCGAGCAAAGGCTAAGCGCCGCGCCGGAGCTGCTCGTTCGTGAGGTCGGTATGGCTACTACCACCTCTACTATCACTTCCCATTGCATGTTCAAGCCGCGAGAGAATAAATTTCTTGTGCGGGGAGTGGCCGGTCTTGGGTTGGGGAGGGGCGACTATGGTCAGTGTGGACACCATTGGAACTGAGGTCATTGTTCAGGCTTGAAGAGATGCGACCCAAGTGGGCCTCGAGTCTGCCTCCCGAGAGAAGAGACTCCGTCTACTGCGCCGGCTCGGTCAACCCTCGAGCACATTGCAGTGTCCTCAAGTGCAATGGTGGTAACTCTTATTACGTCTACTACGAGGCTCAGGGTAGCAGCCAGTTTGAGTGCGTGTTCGGACCTCTGCGGTCCTCCTTCGATGAGGCCTCAGGGGATGCTGCTCGGATAGTGTCAGCGACCTCTGATAAAGAACTGGGCGGTCTGGTATTAAGGCTGATGATGGTAGAAGGAGCGATCGTACGGCGGAAGGCCCCTCCCAGGAGTCGCCCTGGAATGATGCTCAGCGCACCATACATTCGAGTTGATGTTCCCGTCGTCTCTAAAGAGGTTCGAGAAGAATCTGTCACTGTCGCCCTCAGAGGGATCCGGTTCAACACCGTTGAGTGCTTCGTACCTGTAGCAAGAGAAGTGAAGCTCAGACTTAACCATACGAAAATGGGCAGAGTCATAGACTGCATCGTCGAGCTCCTCGCCAAGTGCGTGGATGAGGGTATCCAACGACCAGATGACCATGCTATGTATCGATGTGTTCGAGAGACACTCGGGTGTCGCTTACCTTTACCCGAGACGGATATTTTGCGGCTCATAGGAGCCCTGGCCGACAGTTTCCCTCACGTTGAAGTGGCGGAGGAGACTCCTGACTGGTTGGCTACTTTCAAGGAGAAGTCGAAGAAGGTGGACGTTCATGTGGCCGAGGTAGTGAAGGACTGTGAGGCAGAACGGAGGGTGCGGGAGAAGCGTAAGGTGGGGGAGACCAGCGATCCTGCAGCTAAGCGGCCTCGGAAGCACACCCCTGCTGATCGCACTGTCTTCGTGTCTAATGTTGATCGTAGTACCGGACTTGGGGAACTGCGGGATGCTGTGAATGGGTGGATGGGGGAGAAGGGAGTTGATCGATGCGCTATACCGTTGGAGAAGCAGACTGGTGCCGTCAGGGGCCACGCTTTTCTCTACTTCAAATCGTCAGGGGCCGCTGATAGATTCGTTGATAGATGCACACGAGAGGAGCTGGTTGTCAAGGGTCGAGTTTTGCGCACGGCGAAGGTTTTGGAGGGGAATCTTGAAGGAGAGGAGCTCCAAGCGTGGCTGTCTGAACGGAAGCATGAGATGTTCCGTCTACCCTCGGAAATAGAGGGAGTCATCAAGTCGATAGTAGCAGAGAATCCGGGTTGTAATATTTCACTAATAAAGCACAGAGTAGAGTCTGACCGGGATGGACCGGTTGATCTGGCACGCTATGGCTTCAAGTCGTGGTCTAAGGCTGTGAGGTCGGTCCCTGGGGTATCCGTTGAACCTGTTCGAAATGAGGAGAAGTCTGGGAAGCTGAGCGGATACATTGCTCGGCTCGATGCATAATTATAATACTATTTCGATACTATGCTGGCCTTGGGTTGTGTCAATGAGTGAGTTTGGACTTCCATTTCGTAGGGATGCTATCCTCCTCTACAATATACGACCAAGTGACTGAGCTCGAGCATGCCGTAGATTCAGTTCCCCTAGGAGAAAGACCAAGGAAGCCTCCCCAACCTTCCCGTAGTGGCGGTACCTCTACCCTCGCCCAGGCTGTCAGTCGACACTCGATCAAGTTGGGTTTGAGCAAGCCCCGTCCCTCAGTGGAAGACGCCTCTCTGTTGAGCACCTATTCAGTCGGTCAGAAGACCAGTCTTGTTGGCTCCTCATCGCCACTCAGAGTATCATCGGAGAAGCGCCCTTTGTATATGAGCAGAACCTCTAAGGTGGAGATGCCGCCGTCTGGTACGGTGAGCGACCAGTGGAGTAGCGTAAAGACTTCAAATCCCTCGGAAGACTCCGAAGAGGCCAAGGCTGTTCTGCTGGCTGACCTCCTATGTGACGTTCGAGCCCACAGTCGTCGGCGGGACCGTCTTGGTCAAGAGGAACTGATGATAAGGAATAGGCTGGCGAGGTTGACACAGTTGGGGTGCGCAGTGGAGGACGTGGAGAAGGAGGTGGCGAAGTGGGGGTAGACTGAGTAATTAAGAGGAGCTCTTCGCCATGGCAAAACTGTATTATTTTTCTCGAACTTCTTGTGATAGTGTTGAGTTCTTTCTGTCTGTCATGTGTGGCATCTTAGTTCTGTTCGTTGAACAATTTTTATTCATTGGCTGGGTGAGTGTCACCGAAGTCATTGTTGTGGGGACGACACGGTGAGGAATCCATCCTATCAGTCCTAACGCTTTTGCACGGGCCTGCGCATGAATACATGAGACACGGATGCCACAATGCTTGAGGCACGGCCTGACTGGGTTTGGTTTGCTGAATATTTTCGAAATTACTCGAGTTGATTGTCTGACCAGACGAATCTCCCTCCAGAATCTTGTAGATCACGAATGCAGTCCAGCCCTGCCAACCTCACTCATTCAACTGGTCTTCCAGCGGCCCTAGCTGCATCGAAGATTCAAGACGACCAACATAGCGTAACCCGTCCCCGGGCGCTCTCATATGCGATTAAGTCTTGGTGTATGATCGCCCTGGGAGCGACAATCGTCCTTTCGCAGTTTTGTACCACCACTGTCGCAAAACGCAAAGACGCCTACGTGAAGGAACGTTGATCGTTATGGGAACTCTAAGATTCTTCGGGCGCCTTCTTGCTTATCGGAGCTTCAACGAAACGCATGTGCTCCTGAAAGGAAGCCACTATAAGGTTGAGCTCGACCACGAGACCACCCGTCCTCACTCGTGCTGCCCAATTCTTCGATTCTCCTTTACCCAAGGCGTCTCCAATCAGGGTCTGCATTTCTGCATTTCCCGCAGTTGCGCATTGCACAGCGAAAACAGCTCCCTCGCGGAGCAGTGGCACCTACCGGCGTATTCAACAACCCGTTCACAATTAACAGATTGAACATATCCACCACACAGTGAGCTAAATTCGACACAAACGACTTACCCGGGGGTCCACAATGCAGTGCGAGAGGAGGGTCGGTATGAGGCGCTTGTCGTAGTGGATGAGGTTATCCTGGGCAACGGGGGAGTTAGCGAGACAATTGGCCACAAGACGGAGTATAGTGGCCGCGGGTATGTGGTCGCAGATGAACGTGAAAGCTTCGCTCCTCGAAGACTTATAAACATCATCGGGTCGGACTGTGTCCGGCAGCGTCACATCATCCTTCCCCAATAGCTGCGGAAAGCGCACGAAATGCACACCACGGAGGAGTCCCAGAGAAAAGAAGACTCCTGCTTTGTCAAGCTGAGATATTCTATCTCGATCACGATACTCGCTGAGGGCCAGATGGTTAGCTACACTGAGCAAATCAGTCATAACCTGGGCATATACTTCGGCCAGCCCTTGGGGGTCATCAAAGACCTCGTGATAAGCATCGCCAAGCCCTCCAAGATCCTCCCTATGGTCTTCTACCATAGTATTGAGGCCCTGCCTTGGTAGATGACACACCGCTTCGAAATAGGCGTAGGCCATGACCAACAAGGTCGCCACACAGTCAGAGATCTTCTCGTAGTTATCCCTATCCACTATCTGTTGCATGATACGCAGTAAGAAAGATATCACCGTCGATTGGCTCGGCATCGACTTGAGATTCACAGGCCCCTCTGCCGATCCATTCAGAGTGTCAGTGTCAGCATAGGCTCGCATTATGAAATTCTGCAACTCTTCAGGGGTCAGCCGCATCCACGCCTTCACTATATCTGTCAGTCTGTCCAGCAGTGTACCCGTAAGCAGGGTGACTGCGTAGCGGCTCACGTCGACCTCCTCCCCCGGCGCGGCATCAGCGTTGCCAATGTCATTAGCAAGAGTGAGATAGAGCAGTAGAGGGAGACCATCAGGATAACACTTCCACAGATGTCCAAAGTTCAACAATAGTAGCCACGCCCGATCACCCGTCGTGGCAGTGCTTGATATCAGCCAATACCTGCAGCACGTACCTCACGACTAAGCCAATGTTAGGACTCACAGTTTTTCTGAGCTCCCGCCCAGTTCCTCATACAGCATCTCCCCACACTTTTCATTTCCCGTAATGAGAGCCCTCAGGAGGGACACTCTAGCCTTGCTCGGTGCCTCTATACACTTCCCAATGACGTCCTGCTCTATACATATCCGTCGGAGATTCTCAGCTGCAGGTCTGCTGCACATATTGCACACCAACTTGCAGGCGGCTTCTTCGCCAGAGTTGCAGGTCGCGACGATCTCCTCAAGTGTTTGAGGTTCCTCCAGGAGGGCGTCGAGGAGGGAAGGGTCGGCCTTGCTTTTTTCAAACAGTGTCTGTGCACTGAACTCAGTCATTTACACGCGCTAATGATAGGAACAAGTCACCCAGAAAGCACTTAAACGAAAAACTATAAATATCCAGCAGAAACATCAACCTCCGACTGTAAACAACTTTTTCAGATCTCCCGCGGGAATGCGCAGAGGAATACGAGGTTTCTTATTCCGCCGTACTTGCCTGAAAGTGACTTAATGGAAACAACTATATGAGTCGGGCGTCTCACCGCATAATCTCCTCCCGAATGTCCAAGGGTAGTCGACCATCGCTCATAACCAAGTCGAACTGCTGAACTGCTAATTTCGTCAGAGCGAGACCTACCAGGCCAGCCCGTTCGCCCTCGATGTTAGGAAGGCTGTCGAGAAGGTAGTCCAGCAGCTCCTTGACTGTTGCGTCAGAGTTGGGGGACATCTCTGGAGAGGCCGCCATAGCCGCACAGAGGTCCAGTACACTGTTGCAAATGGCAAGCTGTAGGCGGGCGGGCATTGAGTGCTCGGGGTGACACGCATGCTGGTCAACCTGATATGAATTGTTGTATACACCACACTAGAAAGGGGATGCTACTGATACCGCGGTTTGGTATACACCAGAATAATCAGAGATTCGGACAGGCCGCCTTACCCGTCTCATAGCTGGCCACAGGTCCGACCATATCCTTTGACTCATAAAGATGGTCAACTCAGTCGAGGTAAGCAATACATTGGACAGGAGATTGAGACATGCTAGCAGACAGTGTGGCCTGCAGAAGGGCCAAGGAGTAGTAGGACACTGACACACAGAGGCTGCTTACTTCGATCGAGGTTGCATGGCCGCTGCCTTCAAGTTGGACCAGCAGTCCGCTAACGCTGCTGGTCGGGCAGGTTCGGGGATAAGGGGTAAGGCTCGGGAGACACACCACAATGCAGGAGTCAATAAGGCCGACTCGGTGGCAGTGAGCACAGGCGTGACCTGAGTAGTCTTCAGAGGGAGCAACACCACATGAACTTGCCATCCTACCCTCTCTAGAGAAACTTTGCCCATCCACTCAGTCGGAGTCAAAGCCCTACGTAGGTCCTCATCGCTCAAGGCCGTGGCACCAATAGCGTCACCAGAGCTCCGAGCTTGCCATACATCAACACCAACATCAGGATCCCCGCTCAGTGAGCCCAGCAGGACCTGGCAGATGCTCGATCAAGGTAATCGCGATCGGTACTGACCTCCAAGGGTGGTGGACGCTCCGGTACTTCCTCTGATAACGGTGAGGCAACGCCACTACCGCTACGAATGTCAGGGTACTGCGCCTTGAACACCACCCACAGAACCGCTGAGAGGCACTGGAGGATCTGAGTAGCAGTCGATAACCCATTAGCCGGCTTTCCTAGAACCGTAGAGTGTCCAGTTCAGAGCCTGCTACCACTCCCTCAGGCCAGCAGGGAATTACCGAGCAGCAAGGCGCTGCAATCTTACCCATGCCTCGTCCTTAGTCGTCACCCGTATGAGCTCCTTGACGATATCAGCCAGCCAGAAGCTCATCTCTCCTGTGGAATCTGAGAATAACCAGTGACCGCAGCAACAGATGCTACTAGGCCATGGTATAGTACCCGCAGAGTATCTCGAGAGAGCTAATATTAGGGGAGCAGCGGAGGAGGGGTTGGGGGAATGACGAAGCATGAACCTAAAGGAGTTATCCCACCGTATAGGAGGGCACCCAGTCCATACACAACTCGATCCACGATCCTGTCCGCATTATCGTAGATTAACTCACCGACAGAAGACACACCTAACAGAAGGGCATGTCAGTCGGCACGAGGAACAACCAAGGGAGTTCCCCAACAACGAGGATGCATCCCAACGATGCCTATGGGAGCTAACCACACCGAGCGGAGGGAAGAGGCCTCCGTTGAGAACATACCTGATTTTGAGGCGAGGGACGCCATTGCCAAGCTGGCCGCTGATCGTAAGTACGGGAACTCGCAACCAAGGCATGCGAGGAGAGGGCTGCACAGTAACCGCGTGAGGATGGGCGCTGAGGAGAACGTGTCGGGAAGACAGCCACCAGCAGAGGGCTGGCCTACTTAGAGCATCTATAGAGGTACAAGCCTTCGAGATGGCCCTCAGCATCATGTACATCTCGACTCTATCATCTGAGGATTGGCAAACCCTTCACCAGATGCTCCTTGCCTCAGAACTCACCCAAAATTTCCACGTCCCACCCCGAGGTATCCTCCTCCACTCGACCAACCATCAGCTGGATCACTTCCACACACTGCCAATAGTCCTCAGGTACGAGAGAGAGCCATAGATAGAAGCCGCTGGTTGGGACCCGACTCGCGTCCGCGATGACACTAGAGGTAGTTAAATCTGACCCCGAACTGCGGAGTGGCCTTTCCATAGAACAACCTTACCGCCGACTTCTACTATACGGCCGCATACACGGCGTAGTACTGGCAAGACTGAGCCTAGCCACACACTGCCGAGACTCTGATCAGTTATGCGATCAACCTGAGAGCCAACGAACAATAGGAACCCCTTGGAGTAAGGATGGCAATACCTCAGCCCATAGGGATTCGACTGATTGTTGAACCGCAAGGGGAGAGCCTGACTCCCCAGGGTGCAGAGGTTGGCGTTCGGACAAGACCTATGCATTGGGGGTAGAGTTGGGATGTCCATGAGGGGACTACTACATCCTTGATATCAGCAGCTTGAGGTTTCACCACGGTAATGCAGCGCTGCCATACTTCTCGTACGTCCAACGACGACTGCGCTACCATGACCTGTGGCCCTCACTTACACATGGCACAACGGGTGCGAGTTTTACATATCCCTCGAGGACCTTCCAATCGCCTCGATCTATACTACGGCATGCTCTCTCGGTAGCATAACGGGCAATCTCCTCTTGGTATCGATGTGAAGCCATGACCTGAGGAACAGGAGATGTCTCTATCCAAAAGCGGATGAGCCAAGCCGGCCATAGCAGGCGAGCAGCAGAATCGCGAGTTCATAAGGGACTTTCCTCCCCCAAGTACGACAGGATGGGTATGCAAGTCCCAGAGTACCTCCTCTGTGAAGCTTCCTTCCTGCTCCACTGCTGCTGCTGTTACTATGATGTCCAATGCGTCCGGAATCTGCCCCCAGCTCCTAGGCATCCTCTCCAATGCCTCCAACAGCAGCCGAGACGTTGGCACAGCAGGTAACAGTGTTGAGGTCCCTATCCGGGGCTTCAACATGTAGACACGTACTTCATGATGAGCTTACCGAATCTTCCAATCACTTTACCGAGAGCAACGCCTGTCCCCGTAACGCTGGGCGGAGGCGGCCCGTCTTCAGGCACGTCAGGACTCACACAAGCAAGCAGCCACTTCCGCCAGCAGTCCAGGGCCGCCGACAGCACTGCTCTAGAGGCATGTGGATCCATCACCACCTGCAGCATCGACAGTCGGCGAGCCTCTTCGCGAGATCGTACGTTGCTAGATATAGTACTGACCACTCCAGGATACCACTGCCCTAGGTCCTCTCCCTCTCGAGCAAGCTCTACCCCTATACGACGTATGGCATCAAAGCACAAAACCTAACACCAGGCCTCGTCCCTCCCCCCTGCTTCGACCTCCTCACAGGGTAATACCTGACCCTTCCTGTCTCCTTCCAACCGAAGTGGATTGAGTAATAGGTGTATCGTGTACCCCATGTGATAGGGATTCCGAGAGGACACTGGCGAGAGTCTACGGTACCTAGAGAGCCCAGGAAGGAAAGCACCAGCAGAGGGTCGTAGTACTTGAGAAGGGCGCTAGCCAGTTGGATGAGGGCCCTAGCAAGTTCTTCGGGCATTGATCTGTCGGTTGAGTGAAAGTCCGATATCGGGAATAGGACTGCTGTGGTGACAGTGGGATACAGAGATTGGAGTCTCCGTTGCGGCAATGGGGGCTCTCCTGAACATGTCGAAGATGCCCAACACTTAGATGAGCCCAGACGAGCAGAGGCACATCCGGGCACATCGATCAGTCGTTACTCTCAGACCTTGCTGGAGTGTGGCCAGAGAGGCCCTCACCTGCAGGATCGGTTCTATCCAGTAAGTACGAGAGAGCTTCAATCAACGAAATGGTGGAGTCCTCGGGTAGTGACTTGTAGGATTGTCGTAGCATAGCAACAAGAGGCACATACGCGAGTTCAAACACGTAATGGAGTGACCTCTGGTCGAAGGCACGGAGCACCTGTAATCGACCGTTCCTAGTATTCTCTCCTTCACCCCCTAGTACCTGGGTGATTTCATCAGCATTAGGACGTTGTTGGGGTCCAGTACAGACAAGTCGGCCCACAGCAGGCTGTAGGGCTGCCACTGCCTTATGGGCTTCCGATGACTGAGGCATGGCCGAGACTGGATGGGAGGACCCGACCTGTGGCATGCTGAAAAACAATTCCAACCGACCAACACAGGTCATCGTGGTGAGCTCACGAAAAGGGAGACACAGACGATCTTTATAACTATTGTGGATGAGAATGAGGGCTTCAGAAGAATCATAATTTCCCGTTGGACGCCACGAAGCGATACGATGTCCACCGTTTATCTATGAACAGCCAGTGTGTGTGCTGCAGAAATGCTATATATTGCCAGTGCACTCATTTTCTGACTGTAGATGAAAGATTCACGAAGCAACAACCATCACGTCTAGGACGATTATGAGCGGGTGAATATGAGCGATACGGAAAAAATCACGCACCAACATAATCGTCCGTACTCTGACTCTTCGTTGACTCGCTCTATATATCCTTTGGCATGTCTTCTGCCACTGCATCCTGGAGTGACATTGCCAAGAAGGCTCCTCAGCCGGCATCTGGACCGGTCCGGAAGGTTCGCGGCTCGCGGGCTAAAAGGGACGACCCCGTTCCTCTCACTGGTACTACAGGGTTGAGTCGCTTGAGCTATCGGCTGATGTGGAGTATCGGAACTGATAGAAAAGTTGTCAAATACATTGCGTGCAGGTCCTGAGGACAAGGACATGGATATAGTTCTCGACCCCGTAGATGTGGGCGCTGCCGAGGTCGACTATGAGCCTATGGAGACTGACTCGAAGGTAGTGAAGGGCGGGTGGTCATCATAAGGGAGACTCGCAGTGTGGCAGCAGGAAACTCACTACTTCATTCAGGAGGGGTATTCTAAACCGTCGTTCAATCCTATGACTGCCGAGGAAGAGGAACGAGGCATGCGGGAAGTTCGAAGAATTGCGGTATTGCGGGAGATTCTTGGAACACACCAATGATGCTAATGTAATGACTCCCAGGTCCCTCCCCACCGGATGACCCCTCTTCGTAACAGCTGGCTGAAGCTTTTAGAACCTCTAGTCCAGCACATGAAGCTCCAGGTTAGAATGAACACTAAGCGCCGTTGTGTCGAGATGCGACGTAGTAGAGGCTCTGGTCCGACGACTTCTATCAGAGTGGCTTCGCAGGTGGTCCTGGTGCTGAAGTGAACTCCCTTCAAAAGGGTGCTGACTTCATCAAGGCCTTTATGCTCGGCTTCGACATTCAAGACGCCATTGCTTTACTAAGGTAGATCTCCCGTCGGCTATTGTGGGAGGAGATTTTCATCCGTAAGGTTGGACGATCTCTTCCTTGAATCCTTTGAAGTGAAGGATGTGAAGCGGCTCACTGGTGACCATCTCTCCCGATGCATCGGACGTACTATATACTACCCTCAGCTTTATTCAACACTGTCTCACCAGGTATTGCTGGTAAGGATGGTAAGACGAAATACGCCATCGAGAACTCTACTCGGACTCGGATTGTAAGCCCGGGGGGATGACTGCCGCTGTTCGACTCAATGCACTTTAACAGGTGCTAGCTGAGGACAAGATCCACTTGCTTGGTTCCTTCACCAACATCCGTTTGGCTAGGGACGCTATATGCAGTCTGATCCTCGGAAGCCCTCCCAGCAAAGTGTACTAATTACCTCAGTTCTACTGATCGTCCTTACGACTCGTAACATCAGATACCAAAGACTGCGCACTGTCAGTAAACGCGTTCAGGAGCGTCTGTAGATATAGTCGTCGCTCTCTCTCCGCAGCTCTACCATTATCATCACGATAACTGCTACAACGTTTCTCCCAATATCATTGGATGCTACTTGTCGTTGTAGGGTAGCCGCTTGCTAGCCCTTCCCTTGTTGTCTATTTCGTTATCAATATGTCTGCCGCCACACCCACTGTTGACGGCCTTGCAGTACAGGACTTGACCAACCTGGATGTCACCAAACTCACACCTCTATCTCCGGAGGTTATCTCACGTCAAGCTACCATCAACGTTGGTAAGTGCCTTCGCAACTGCTACTGATTTCGGGGCTTTCATCGGGGGTCTAGGTACCATTGGTCATGTCGCTCACGGCAAGTCTACGGTTGTTCGAGGTCTATCGGGAGTAGAGCATTCTCCTTATCATTCGCTGTGTTCACTGTCGTCTCATAGGTTATGACTATTCGATTCAAACAGGAGAAGGAGCGTAATATCACCATCAAGCTTGGATACGCCAACGCTAAGATATACAAGTGCCAGAATCCGGACTGTCCTAGCCCTGGTAGAGTTTTCTGAGGCCTTTCTAGGTCTCTGATCTACTCCTCTTCGTAGGTTGTTACACTTCCCATGGGTCTGCCTATCCTGATCGCTACACTGATGAGCACGGTGAATGGGTGGTCGTCCGTCACGTATCTTTCGTCGATTGCCCTGGTCATGATATCCTCATGGCTACCATGCTCAATGGCGCTGCAGTCATGGACGCCGCTATGCTACTTATTGCTGCCAACGAGAAGTGCCCTCAACCACAGGTTATATTGAACATTCCTGTCTGATAGCTGAGGTATTTTTCAACAGACCTCGGAGCATCTGGCTGCGGTCGAGATCATGCGACTGCGACACTTGATCATACTGCAAAACAAGGTGGAATTGGTTACCGAGGCTGAGGCTCAGCAGCAATACGCGGATATCCGGTATGCTCGAATGAGTGATATTAATGGGTTCCTTCGGACTCCAATTTTTCTCAGGAACTTCGTCAAGGGTACTGTGGCCGACTCTGCGCCAGTCGTACCGATTTCAGCCGTGCTTCGTTACAACCTGGACGTTGTAGCCGAGTACCTTTGCACTCAAGTATGTCTATTGGCATCTTCAGTAAGATCATGCTCTATGGCAAATTCAGATTCCTGTTCCCGTTCGCGATTTCACTTCCTCTCCCCAAATGATCATTATTCGATCGTTCGACGTTAACAAGCCTGGTAAGACCAACCGTGTTCTCCCCTCGCCGTGCTTGACGGTTCGTTCGCCTCAGGACAAGATGCTGAGGAACTCATGGGAGGCGTTGCTGGTGGCAGTATCCTCAACGGCGTTCTCAAGGTAAATTCTGATCCGCCGGTACGTTCACTGACTTGTCTAGGTTGGTGACGAGATCGAAATCCGGCCGGGTGTTATCAGCAAGGACGATCAAGGCCATGTTACCTGCCGTGCCATCAAGACTAAGGTCAAGAGTCTCCATGCTGAGAATAACGAGCTGCAATATGCCGTTCCCGGAGGGTAATGAAGTGGTTCTTCAGCCCTTCTAAATCCCTTGCTCTTCTTCCAGTCTTATCGGCGTTGGTACACAAATGGATCCCACTCTCACTCGAGCGGATCGCTTAGTTGGACACGTCCTCGGCTATCCGGGCCATCTTCCTGATGTCTATGATCAGATCGAGGTTAGTGGCCCATCGCACCCTCGGTTATTGCCTGTTACATTTTCTAACTTCAGATCAAGTATCATCTTCTCCGTCGCCTGCTCGGTGTGAAGCAAGACACTGATGCTTCGAAGCATGGCGAGGGTACGTTTCCTAAGCTCTCCGGCCTCTCACATTAATGTTTCCGTTATGCCCAGGCTATAAGGGTCCCTCCATTACGAAGCTGAAGAACAAGGAAATTCTCATGGTCAACATAGGAAGTGGGTCCTGATACAAAGTCTCACCCGCTGCACGTGACACTTCGTCAGGCACTGCCGCTGGTGGACAGATTGTCGGCACTAAGACTGAAGGTTCGGTGGCGAAGGTCCAACTCGCTGTACCCGTAAGGATAACAACTGGGCTGTGCCAATCCCAGATGCTCTTTGCATTAGGTCTGCGCGAATGTTGGTGACAAGCTGGCCCTGAGCCGACGTATCGACAAGCATTGGCGTCTCATTGGCTATGGCGAAATTGTGAAGGGCAAGATGGTATCCGGCAAGACCGCTTAGAAATGGTGAACGATAATCGAAGCGTAACCGCGAGTTTCTCCGAAACTAAAAGCTCTCTCGAGTTAAGTTCATGTTTAACAGAGAAGGCCAGCTGCAGGAATCCTACGCGGTCACTGTATACTTCAATCTCCCATTGGAAGTATGTGAGCATCCCTCCCGATTCGGAATATGCGCGAATCCGGACTCTCGGGGGATCATAGCGCCTCCGCCCACTGTGGGGCATCACGTAGACACGCGTGTTGTGTAACGCTCGATTACACCTTGAAAAGCTCATTCTTGTGGGTGGGGCGGCTATGCCACTGCATGATATGCCCTTAAGATTATGCCACACCAAGATATGCCAGAATGGTACAATCAATTTTGCAGGAGCATGGGATAGCGTGTCCGGTTCCACTAGTGGGGCAGATATGCCATCTCAGAACTGGTTCCTCTTCGGCGGCCATTAAATATCCGCTAGGCTCTTCTCTAACAGATATTTCAGTGCCGGCAAGACTGATCCTCTTACCGCGTGTACCTGCGAAATTGATTGTGAGAGGTATATCTTCGAGTTGTGGCATAGCTGCCCCTCCCTGTGAAATCGATTTTACTTAGAGATACGAGATAGGCCTTCGAAAGGTGTAGGTATCGTGATGTTTGAAATCATGAGTTTCTATCGATAGAATCTACACCATGGGATCACGAGTGTATCAATTGTAGAAGATCAACTGCACACACTATTATCGCGATGAATCATCAGCACAAACGTCGTAGCCTCCTACATCTGCTGTGTGATACAGTATCACTGATACTGATCGCCAGTGGCATTCTAGTGACTTCCTAGGATCATCCCGGAAGTAGGAGAAGTTCGCCATCCAAACTGCCACTTCGAGTGGGGTAGCTTCTATTTTTGACAACTTGGATTGCGAATCGCAAATCACCCGAATGGCCTCCGGCAACATGCAAGCTTCGTGTCAAGCATGACGACAGATGACCGACATGGAACTTGCGTGTTATGTGTGCGCTGTGGAAGCTATGGACCAGGAAACACTTGTATATAACACTTGACCAAAACTCAAATATAAATAAAAGATGAAGAAGCCCCTCGGATGTGATCTAGTCTCAGAGCTTGCACGCTTCCAACAACTACACTCGGGAGCCGCAACTAACGAGGCAGACCACGTGCAATCGGCGACAAGCTAGGACCAACTTTGTGCCACGGCCAACACAACACGAGGGAGATCAAACCATGATGTACATGCCACATAAAGATGAGCACTTCACACAAGGTCACGGTGATGCCACACATGAAGAGTCGCGAATCTCATTGAATGAATGGAGATGGATTCATGCAGTAGATTAATTGATAATATGTACGAAGAGCATCAGGACTTTACTTCGAGCTGCGTACCAGGATGAGACGCTCGAGAGGCGGCAGCGACGAAGAGGGAGTTGTCACCACGGATATTTTCAGACTGGTTTGAATGAGGGAAGAACTCCACAAGGAAATTCACTCCCTCGCCGAGGTGCGTACCTACTATCAAGCGCTGGAGACCACGTGTGCTTCAGTTGCATGGCGCCGAATAAGGCCAAAAAAATCCCCACCATGGAGGGAATGAATGGCTTGTTCAGCAGCCGCGAGACTACTGAAGCTAGCACAACCCCAACTGCGGTCCGGGCCAACTTGAACACTCGAACCAACTATACCTGAACTCGTCGGCTTCTCCAAAGCACCTTCCCCGCACAGCTCACCAGCTTGATCATAGAGTATTGCCTTCGTGATCTGTTCCATCTGAGGCGAAATCATGATTGGCGTAATTGATGGGAAAGCGTTCTGCCCAGGAGTCTCGGACTTAGCCTGAAATTGCTAAGTTCATTGGCCTTAGAGTGGTGGTGGTGCTGAGCCATACAAGCGTCCTCTGCTTGGCAGGGGTCTGATAAGCAGATGCTGCTTCACCTGATAATGGCTGCGAAGACCCAACAGGCCCCTCTGAGAAACCTGAAAAGCTCCTCACGTCGCACACCGGTTACCAATATACTACCAATCGCAGGTGTAATGTTGTGGGGGACGGTATCGCCATAAACAACTGACTCGGTGATGTGTGAATCTCCGCAATTGCGGCCCTGCCATTGACACTGATGCGGAGTCCCGGAGCAGTGTGAGACTGGGACTGGATAGGTGGCCACTGGAGCGTTAACTCGCCGGGGAGATGGCCCAACATACCTGAGATAATCTCGAGGCACACACCAAGATACCATGGCCGGGGATCGAACCCACGTAGGCGACCCCCTGCTCGTTGTCACTTGCTGTGGCTGAGTTGCCTGGTACGACGCCGCACCAAGCGTCCTGGCACTCAAGCTCCTGATGAACTGCTAGTTGAAAACCCAGACGCTCCTCACATTTACCGGACCGCGGCCTCCTGGTTACATATCGGGTGACCTCCATAACCGGGGCCGTGACGACCAGAGCCAAGACTAGCAGACTCACCGGTTTTCACCTGATGAAAAGCTGATGACTACAGAGCAATTACGACTCATCACATCGATAGACAATGAGGGAACACATCCATCCCAACTCATCCCGCTCCGACCTACACAACCCCCAACGCAGGAGTTCTTGTGCGTACTTGTATTGGAGGAAGAATCAACACAGCCATCGTAGTCACCTGGCCCTGGTGGGAGAGGCGATACTCTAGTGTAGTACGACTGAAAGCATACTATGTTCTCCTCTCGCTGACGATCGACTCGTGGCAGATCTCTTCACGCGGTTAGAAGAGCGATGATCCTGGGGGTATGCTCCACTCGCGTCCCCGCCTGGGCCGGTCTGTTGGGCCGAACGTTGTGGTCCCTAAGGTAGATGATGAGAATGCATGTCCACTGCGTGACATCGTCTTTACTCTGAAGTTCCGCTTAGTGTGCAGTGGCGTCTTCTGAGGAACTCTATCGGCCCTGAATTCGGGTCGCCAAGGCTTGATGTGCAGTGGTAGATGTGAGGCCGGCATGTCCGGGACCTGACGGGTGCAATCCTCCAACGAGGGTAGCCGCTGTATACGGCTGTGCCATTGAACTTCTCCATAGCAGCTGCCGCGTTCTCCTCTGTATCAAACCTAATCAGAGCGTTGGGAGGGTACTGTCCCAATCACAGCACCTTATAACAGCGATGCCCCTGAACTTCCCCTTATTGTTCGACCCAGTGTCTTCATCTATATTCTGCTCTGAAACTGTAAGCATATAGAAGCGATAACCGCCCTTGATCACCTGGAGAGTACTTCCCATTACTATTGTCCCGCAGCATACGTAGATGTTCAACGTGCGGCCCAAACACAGGCCCAAACATTGCCTTGATTTTCTGCGCATCGTATTCAATAGGAATATTCGCGACATATCTGTAAACAAGCTCGTCCTCGGAATCTTCGGCTTCCATCGACAAGATGGATGTATTCAAGATCCCCTTACAAGTTGCTGTGGATATTCGCCTTCCAAGCGGGTCTTGCTATGCTCACTTTGATCTTCTTCATAGGTCTAGGGCTGATCAAGACTGACTAGTCGTTTTCGAAAACACAGATATGTCTACCCAGAGCCATGCCAGGTTCCAGGGTGCTGCGGAAGCTCTAAGCCATTGAGTTTTTTCACTGCAGCCTCAGCCGATGCGTTCTCTTCGTAATTTACGAAGCCGAAGCCCATCGACATTCCTGTGTTTTTATCGCGTACCTACAATCACCACAGGCTGACACCCAGGGTGAATGAAACTGAGATTTGCCCACTATTTTGACCGACTGATACGGGCCGAAGGGCTCGCACATCTCGGCAAGGTCGTTCTCCTGTATATGAGCAGGTAAGTAGTTGATGATGAGATTGGACTTTTCCATGATTGTGAATGACCAGGTTGAATCAGTTTATACAGACGTTGAAGATATGGGAGATCAGACAGACAAGGGGGGCACTGCCGGGGATGTGTAGTGTTCAGAAACAAGCAAGTGAACACAAAGACTGTGGGAGAGTTCTAACTGGAATCCCCATAGAAGAGCTCTTCCGAGCCACTGTTAATTCACAGACTCGACTCAACGACCTTGTTAGTCTCTCCGAAACTCGTCAATGGTATTTGGCCACTTCTCACAGATACTCATCCTTATGTCCAGCGAAGATCTTAAGAAAAAACTATCTTCTTGAAGAGGTCAATGGGGTTGAGGGTGAGCTCATCCGCTTGATAGAGGCCTAAGCACGACGTAGTAATTCGACATAAAGCGCGTGGGGAGAGACAAGGTTCTACTCGGTGACTTACCGTATGCAAAGATAGCAGGGATGACTGTGTAATGGAAGGCTCGATGACCACCCTTAGTCCACATATCTTGGACCTTGCGGAGAGGTCCAGGGACCTTGGATGGCGGCGGTGGCATCATCATGGCTGTTCGATTAAATTGACTGAGAACATGATGAACAGAAGTAGTAGGATATTTCAAGTGGCACCAGCCTGCTGGGGGTCGTCTACGCCCGACCAAATCGATTCTGAGGCTATCGAAAGAGCGGACGACTTGACCCATGGGACTATCTATCTTCCCTTGATAAGTTATGGTAACTTTTCCGAGTCATCAGAGGATCGGCCTTTAGCCTGATCAAGGGGGAAGCATCACCATCTGGTCGTAAAAACGTCTCACAATGGGTCTCATCGAGAATAAGAGTTGAGTATAATTGAGTACAACGACGTATATGGCCAAGCTAGAACTAGATTCTTGAAAACTCGTGCCGGTATCCACTGAAAAATGCAGTAGAAATGTAGGCGGCAAGGATCGAACCTGAGCCAAGCCTCCGGTCACTTGTTATGCCAAACGTAAACTGACCGTCGCTCCTACAACGATGGGGGAGCAGAGCTCAGGTCAGTCGACCTCCTACATACCAGAGTAGGAGGACGGTGATCTCCCCCGGGTGGGAGGGAGGGAAAAGCAGAAGACAGATCGAGGACGCCATGTGAGCCATGAAGCCTCGCTGCTACCGATACCATCGAAGTCCCAGCTGTGGCTATCAATCGATCCTCTGATCGATGCACGCTATGACTTGATCACTTTACTCGCGCACACCAACGCTCCGGTTGCTGAGTGCGCTCTATAAACTGACCGTCGCTCCTACAACGATGGGGGAGCAGAGCTCAGGTCAGTCGACCTCCTACATACCAGAGTAGGAGGACGGTGATCTCCCATCGGTGGACTGATCGGTGGACCGAGCGCGCGCCCCCATCGCTGAGGAAGAGACGGTGGTAGGAGTGAGCAAAGTTTATAAAATAGAGAGATTCCCTTGTAGTGGTGACTCACCACTGGTGAGACCGAATGACTCAGCAACCTTGCAATCTTACTGAAACTATATAATTTCTTAAAAAGCCAAATTGTGCCGATGTGACGCCGTCACACGGTGAAACGTTCGCGAAACTCGGTTTGCCCCGAGATGAAAAATCAGGTGGAATCTTCGTCACTATCATCAATGAGCAACATGAGTGATCGCTTAGTAAGCAGACGTGTACCCGGTGTTGTGTATCGTAAAATGGCGTGACTTCTCCATCCGCCAGCCTGCATGATTATAGAGGCTGGGACTCTCTGAGTAACCAAGTCTCGAGCATGCCCTCTGCGGAAAGCATGTGCTGTGTAGGAAGCTGGGTTCGGACACCCGCAGTGTTGGAGGTGAAATCGTACTCGAGAGATGAACTGTGAGAATGTTAAGCCAACGATGAGAGG